GAAGATAATGACGGGCCTCATGGTACCAAGGGCAAGGGTCCTAACAAGGTTAAAGCACTCAAGGACCTTCTAGGGATCAAATAAGAGATGAACCCTGCTAATTCGCCTGATCTCAACCCTATTGAGACAATCTGGAGAATAATAAAGCAGCGCTTGAAGTCCAGGGGGGTCATCTTCGAAGAAGCTGTTCTGCGCAGGGCTATCCAGGAGGAGTGGGATAAAATAACTCTGGATGAGATTAATAGGGCTATCTCAACAATGCCAGATAGAGTAGCTGCCCTAAATGAGCGAAATGGGCGTCCTATCCCCTATTAAAGGGGTGTGTAGCATAGCAGGAATCTGAGAACTCCCGTAAATTTTGGCGCCAAGCTTCGGCCCCTTTCCTCTCGCCCTGCAAACATACCGGAGCAGGCTCGACAACATCGCCCCCAACCTTTTCATTGAAGACAACGCTACGGCTCATGTACCCTTTCGAGACTGGGTGGACGCGACTCAAGGCAAGTTGGAAGGTTCTGAGGTTCACATTCGAAGCTAATAATTGCAGCGTTCGAACGAGACACCGTCGCAAACGACGTAGGGTTGAAGCAAAGACTAGGAGATCATTCGACTATCGATCCTCTTACCTTGAGCCCTGTAGGAGCTGTAGCGACGAAGCGGGATCCAAAATGTCGTTTTATGTGAGTCCTTGTGCGCCTGTGTGTCTAGTTGCGCATTGTTCTGACAAGTGCCTATCCAGATTTCTTTCAGCTGGTCCCGATGGGCATTCGCGACAGCGTCTGAAAACAAGTCGCCAAATGCTCACTCGCATACTCAGCTACCATCAAGTCATGCCAGACTATCTTGATCTCATCTGTGTTTTTGGACTATCAGCTAAACCTCGGGATCTAAGGTTTAGCTGCTTTCGTGAGCAGACGCTGCTCGGCGACTCTTTTCGTCAGTCAGCAGTACCTGAAATGGGTAGAAGCGGGCAGCAATTCCAGCTATGCTATAATCTGAAAGCTCCCTTCTGTTCCTCTGCGGCGGCCTCCAGTCTAAAAGGAAAGGAATGAGGGATACGCAAGGTGGCGGTTCATCATCAGTTTGACACCATAGAGGGAACGACTCTCTGGATCATCACAAAAGGCACCTCGAGATCAAGGATCTTGTGCAAAAAATGACTGGGAAAATCGGACGGCCAGAAGACCGAGCTTTTGGTACACCACAAGTAAGCTTTGTCTCCAGCTTGGCGATCCATTTGTTCCATTGCCATTGGTCCACAGACGAGTGGCGATGGTATATTCAGTTGCTAGAAGACGTAACTGATAATTATGTAAGCTCCACTAAGCGCGGCCTATAGGGGCTTTTATACTTACCTTTCTATCCAGACCGACATTGCGGTAAGTGGGCCTCGTGAGAAGAGTCACGCACGCTACGAGTACAGCACTCGGGACCTTCAAGACATACAATATTACGAGGGCAAGGGCAACGAAGCGGCCACGATCCTGGAAGGGAACATCGAAGTAATTTTGGCACTTCGCGCATACTATCAAGGATATCAAGCCAGCCAATATCTTAAACGTTCAAGGAAAATTCAAATTGGCAGATCCGGGCTTCGCACGATTTGAGAAAAGCTCCGAAAGGGACAAGACAATTATTTCTGGAGGCACTACATCGTATGGTTGGTATTCTTCTCCCATTGACCATCTTAAAGGCAGACAAGTTGATGCCATCCTTCCCAGGGGCTCCTGAATGTTACCGAAGAGGCACCATGGCTCCTGTTCCCCGGGCAATCGATATATGGTCTCTGGGCTGTGTATTCTCGATGGCGGCTATCTGGGTCGCGTCCTTGGAGACAAGGGTATCCCTATGTTCGAGGAAATGAGACGGCAAACAATTATGAAAATCAGGGTACATCGCCCTGCGCACCCAAGCGCTCGTCCAGTTGAACTTGCAAAAGGTGACTATTTTCACGATAGCCAGGATGTTCTTGAAGTCGTGCAGCTCTGGCACAAATACCTGGGTAACGTGTCTCGAAGATCAGGTACAATCACAGTTCAAGTACTTGATCTCGTTGACACGAAAATGCTTTGCGGTAAACCAGCGCAGAGGATAGATGCAGAAGAACTTTGCAATCTGCTGGCTCACATTTCGAACTTAAGTGCTACCACGACGGAGGCGTCACTGCCAGAATATTTTACGACAGCGCTTCAAGAAGTTGATAGAATAGCTGCCTCGAAGCCCGTGGCTTCACCGTCTCGATGGAACAGATCCCAGGGAGGCTTGTCCCCTTCTGTTGGTGACCGTGATGGCCGGAAGTCCAAATTCGTTGATCTTCCTTTGATTAAAACAGCTCATAGATCGCAGTTTCAGACGACCAAGCTTCATGCAAACACTGGTTCGAACCATAACCAAGATCTTCTGTCTAGAAGTACAGTTGATGTGCAGGCTGCAACAACGGGTCAGCCGAGTTCGTCTACCTTTAGAGCGTATCCGTACGAGCAAGTTCCACCAAATAGTCCTTACAGTGGGCCATCCTCCCGCCCTAATCTTGGGCGCTCGGGCCCATCTACGGGGCTCCTATCTCTACAGAGCACGTCACGCCAGGCTAATTCAAAACGGCATTCCAACCAACGCAAATCAGAAGACGTTTTCCAAGCGCACAGCCAGACATTTTTGAGCAAACTGCTCAAGAAGGCCGATAGATGAATTTCTGAGTCGTTATTTCGTGAATAGAGATATTGTAAGTCTTTCCCATTAATTTAAAAAGGGAACATGGTGGCTGAGTCTCACGTTTACAGAAATTTTTGGTAGACAATGCTTCAACGATGGCGCAGTTTTGGGATGAAGCGGCCATGCTTCTAGAAGTACTAATAATGAAAGCCAAGGGTCTCGATCCTGACGGAATGGATCTTTCTTTCACTACCGGACCTGTTAGAGTCCAAAACAGCAACGACGAGAGAGGTTTCACTGAAGCGATGGACAATGATGATGCCAGACCCAACGACATGACCCATACTGACATGAGTGCTTCGCTGGGTGCCATTTTGAGCGCTTATCTTCAAGAGCTGAAAAGCAAAAGACTCCAAGGCACCAGAGAGACCAAGAAAAGAAGGTCGACTAACTATGGAGTTAATGATAGGAAGCTGACTGTGATCGTCTTCACAGACGGGAAATGGGAAGGAATGGATAGAAAAGCTCAGGTCGATCAGATCATTATTGACTTCTCCAAAGCATTAGAAAAAGAGGTTCGGAATCTACAAAAGCGTTATGTAAGCATTGAGTTCGTCCAGTTCGGCAATGACCCAGACGCAAGTCACAGGCTGCGGCACTTGGATAACGACCTCAATTATGCTGGAGTTGAGTGAGTACAACCCATTTGCTGGATTGTTACGTTTCTGCATCGCTGACGAAGTGAATACAGTGACATCGTTGATACCGAACCTTCAAGGGGCGATGTCTATAAAATGCTTTTAGGTAGCTTTGTGGAAGGATTTGACAAGAAAAATGACGAACCAGAGGATCCTTCGCCCATTAGCCCTGGCAATGGTGCTGCTATTCACGAATCGCCGCCACGGCTCTTCCAACCAGGAGTGAATCAGCCTTGGCCGCAAATCCACAGCCCTCCGCCAGCCGAGCTCCCCAGTCCAGAGTATGGCCGATCTCAGTTCATGCATCGCCCGAGTAACAATCAAACACACACTGTCCCTGCCAGGCCTGAGTCTTGGTGGCATCAACGATCATATCCTCCCTAGCATGGAAGACCTCCCAAATTCCGAAGGGATTCTCGATAGCCTTCCCAAAAGAACCCATGGCCTTCCCCCGTGCCCCCACAGTGTTTCAATACCAGGGTAATCTGACGAATGGCTCACTCCAGAACGATGGTCCCGCATTACCGACATGCGTCAGAACAATCCGTGAGGAGAATGGAACAACATCACATCTCAGCATTTGCAAGCAGCCCAAAGGCCAGGTGCACTCTAAGTGTGATGGCGATCTTGCATGCCGGCCGGGAATTTCTATCCATAGTTCGAACAGTTTCTAGATAGAGCTTCCCAAGGATGTCAGCACTGTGTCTCCGATAACAGCCTCAAAGCTGCCAACCGTCACTTTACTCCTTACCGGAAGGCTCCTCTATTCGTCTCCAGAGTCGACCTGTCATATGGCAGCCCCTTCTCTTTTGGTCGCCTTTCGATACCGACGACGTCCTCGATCCGTGAGCATTCTACCCATAATCCTGGATCTGGCGCGTTGCTGAACGCTGAGGGGTGCTTTCGGTACCGGAAGGCAACCCCGCCATGCTGAACAGAAACAACTATCACTTGCTAGCCAATTTCCTACCCAATGGTCCTGATTTGCTGAGACGCAAAGGCCGTTACGCATGCAATGAGACCTTAATCGGAATGGAGCCATGAAGATGCGACGAAGAAGGGTTGGATCGTTGGCGGCTCTCGACCTAGAGGGACCTTGGGATGAGGAAGACGTGGGCCAACTTGGCATTCTCACGTATCTTGACAAAATTGGTGGGGAAGGGAACGGTTGGAACCTGATGGAATGGTCGCCATTTGGGGGCATTCCATCCAGGGGACATCTCTTCCCCAGTCCTCCAACCGTTCATGCGTGTTTACTGTAAATAGAAAAGGAGTCCCAAATCTGTTAGATAGATTCCGCGGCCCCACAAATGGGGCCCCTGGTCGAAAGCGCCAGAAAAACCAGGCTGAATTCATCACTGCTACACCATTGCTTGACCATGATTTTTTAGTTTTTAGTTTTCTCATCTTTCTTTTCTTTGATGGATGAAAACGCTCATGGGATGGAATCACAAACGGACTGCGGAGCCCTACTTAACGTGGGACGGTAAACCAGCCTATACTTTGGACTAACTCTGACGGTCATGTCATTCTCTCAGGCGGAATTGCGAGTGAGGAAAACCTATCGAGAGTTCGCCGCCCTTTTCCTGATCCGACGAGTTCTCTGGCAAGGTACTCTGATAACCTGTTCTCAAGCCTCGCGCCATCCAAATTTCATAGGTTTCCATCCTTCAAGCGGATAGGAAAATCTGCGCAAGTCTAAACCCCGGTGACACCATTATATGTTGTTGATGAAAGTACATCTGTAGTACATTTTGGAAGAGAGTGGCGGTCACGTGAAATATGTTAATTACTAATATCCAACAAAGATCATTTTAAGCCGCAAAAGATTTATTTGGCCTTATCAAGACTTCTTGTCTTCACGCATACACGTGCGTATAAGCGTGTTCGTCTCGTGTTCGTCTCGCATTCGTCTCGGGGTGAGCGTGTTGATTTGGTAGGGCTAAGATGGCCGCACTGGGTGTCTTTTTTTTCGTCCCCCAGTTATTTCCTGACCAAAGTGGTGAAATCTGTATGATTGGTTAGGGCGTCGAAGGAGTATTCTTCTAGATCCAGATAAGCAGAAGGATATTGCTTGTGTGAACCATAAACTTCTATCAAGGCCCTGGTCGCGGAAGGAATTGCTGGGGCTTGGTACCTTGATTCAGCTCATTTCAGCTCTGCTCAGGTTTGGTCTTTTTTTTTCTTGCCTCATTTTCCAGCTCAATTCTCACGATACGGCTTCCCTATTCCCGGTTAGTATAATCTCTGTTACGCAAATCAAATCCTCGCCTATACATTTGAGATAAAAGCGCGGTATTCGGCCATACTGAGAGTTAGCGTAAGAGTAAGAGCCGTGTATATCATGATGTTGTCGCCATGTCTGAGAAAGCCGAGACCTGTAGTGAGCTTGGGGCAGATTTATCTTTACTTGGCAAATACTCTGCCGTCGTTGTCCGCTTCCCACCTCATAAGCATTATAATATTTGACCGTAATATCCTCTCATCTAGCTTCAAGACTATCGGTTTCGAATTTGCTCTTTTCAACTGAGAAACAGACCTTTAACCTGGTCTTACCTCTTTTTCCCAAGTTCCCTACGAGAGCGCAGTCAAAATGCCGAAATATAAGTATCTCAGCATCCCTCATATGAGATCTGACTGACGTTCACACTCTTCTGTAGGTTTTACTGCTATTCACCATGTGAGCTGCTTTCTTGATCCTGACCTTGAGGTTAGGCGACTACTGCGATGTCTATCTTACACACGATTCCATGTCTGTACGCAAGGCACACAATGCTGGGAGAAATCATTTGAGGAACGTGGTGGAATACTATCAACGTAGGTTTTGCTCTCCTCCTGAGATACTCGTTAAAGTGGGAATGCTGATTGATGTCTCTTTGACAGAAATTGGCCATGAAAAAGCGCAATCAGTTATCGATTCAATCACATCCTCGTACGCAGACGCAGGTCAAGCAAACCCTATGCTGCAACCTCCTGCTGGTGCTGGAGGGTTTCCACCTCCATTTCCCGGTGGTCTTCCTGGTACGTGGATGCGTTGCACTATTTGTTTAGACCACTCTAATCTATATAGGCATGCCCCCTCCACCATTTGGTATGCCAGGTGCGCCACCTCCTCCGGGCGGTCGCGGCATGCCGTTCCCTCCTTTTCCACCAAATGGTGTCCCGCCTCCCAATCTTCCAGCTGGCATGCCTTTTCCTCCACCAGGCGGTTTCCCTCCGAACTTCCAGATCCCGCCTCCAAGCGCGCCTGGTGGTTTCCCCCTTCCAGGACAACTTGGTGGACCTCCTCCAAGTCCAGGACCTCAACAAGGACAGGGCCCACCGCCTGGATTTGGTGGGCCTCCGGGTACAGCAGGAGATAGAAGATAAGATGTTTGATATGTTCAGGAAGTTCGCTCTGGAACGATCAGGTGGGCGAAGGCATCGGCGTATTAGAACATACCCTGGCACGCATTTTCAGGCGCATTCAAGGTTTTGCTAGGTCAACCAGAACATTGCGAAAGCTATGGTCTGTAGAAGCACAGTGGTCACAAGTAGCTGGGAAGAGCGGTTCGGGAAGTATCGGCACCCAAAAAAAGTACCAACACTGGAGGTATGCCCTTCAGAGGCAGATTTTTCCAAACGCATCACTAATCTCCAGTGTTGTCAAAGAGGTCATATTGAGGTCTATCAATATCCTTAATGCCATGAAGCCGGATCTACGCGTCCTTATTGTGTCCTGGCATTCGCATCCCTTTCTATGGGTAGGCTGTGGGCCTCGCCCTGAGGAAGTGCTGTCGCTAATCTGCTTGCGATGGTCGTTCCTGCCCCTGATTTGACGAAAAGCTCGCCGACCGCATCACACAGTCTTTCCAAGAAGAGTGAACATATCCAATCATTTCTTTATTCACTGTTTGAGCCTACTCCTGTTGCCCCATCTTTACTGCTTCCTGTTGTCTACATTCTTCTTGTTGCTCTGTCCATCCATTGTGTCCTCACGATTCGTCGTAGAAACGCTGCACTGTACACATCCGATACAGCTTGTCCATCACCCAAGTCCTTCCCTCGATCAACGTTTGGTTCCACGCATGTGCCCAAAATGGACCACCTTCAACGTGGCCCATCATCAGTCAAACTTCAAAAGCCCCAAAACGACGTTGCTCAAATGCCAACCAATCCGTCTCACAGGGATTACTTCAGCATCAATACCACAAAGATCTATAGCGCAAACCCATCAGGCAACTTCACTGTCACATCCCTTCCACTCACACGTCGCCACCTTCAAGATCTAGAGTCACCTTCATACTACAATCTTCTTTTCGACCTCATTGCAAACAAGTTCAGCAAAACTCCACTTCAACGTCGATCCTCGCAATCATTCGCTCCGCCACTCCAGACAGCAACAACAAAGCTGATTGACCACCGGAGACCTACCTTAAGTGCGACAAAGTCTGCTGAAGCTGTCTTAACGCCCGAAAGGCGTGAGCATCAGCAAAGCCGTGGCTGTACAAAATCTGGCTTTAATCGAATCCAAACGACGGTTCCTTCCTCCCCAATCGAAAGTCAAGCACAACGTTCTGCCCAAGGTTACCAAAGATCTCAACTTCTCGCAGCCAATCCAGAAGACAGACCTCTCTCAAGACTAGACCGTAGCCGACCTCGTAATAGTCCGTACGAAAATCCGTCCCGGATTGCAACAAGGTCTGTTGGGGCTTTACCAACATTTTCCCAACATACGCCTCACGAACATTACACTGAAATACCTCATCGTCCACCAGCAGTCAGTACCAGGTCAGCTGAAGTGACTTTGCCAAGACAGAACAGCGTCTTCTGCGGCTTTCACACGCGGCACTCAAAAGCGACGGACTCAGTTGATTCGACACTAAGGTCTCAAACGCACACTGACCACTACGAGACACTTATTCCTATTCGACGTCCACAAAAGATCACTAGCTCTAATCTGAGCTCTACCATCTCTCTTCCGGCTTCAAAAATGTCACTAGAGCATCCTCATCCATCGAACCCTGACTCTTCCGATCCATTCAGTGCCTTTGAGAATCCTCACCAAAAGACCACCCTCTTTCCACAGAAGGCACATAACTTCTTCTCCCGCAGGGCCAAAAAGGCTGATCGCCTCCGTGCGGCTGAAGAGAAGGCTGAACAGAAACAAAAGGAACGTGTTGACAAGGCTGCTAAGAGGATGGAGAAAGAAAACGCAGATGCTGCCAGGCGTGCAGATAAGGAACAGAGGGAAGGGGCAGAGCAGATGAGGAAGCTGGAGATGGAAGTGGATAAGCAAAGGAAAAGAAGAGAGGAGCAGGTGGCAAATATGGAGAAGAAGCGGAGGAGGGAGGAAAAAAAAGAAAAAGTGGTGGAACTGAGGAGGCGCAAAAGAGCACTGGGAAATATGTCTTGGGGATTTGATCCGGACGCAGGGACAAGGGCCAACAGGGAATCAGGAAGTGGCAGTGTAGAAGCCAATACTTCTGACAAGGGCAGGCCTTCGAGAGAGCACGGCGAGGCAAAGTTGAACAGGCTAAGAAAAGGAGCAACCTGGGGTATCGATAGTGGTGGACCAGGACAAATTCGTGGGCATTATAGCCCAGACGTTAGCAATGGTTGATGGTGGGCACAGGAATTTCGATTGACGGAGATCAGCAGGTTGCTTGTGCTTTCAGTCAGCTAGAGGGAGTTCCACTTACGGCCAGCAGTCGAACGGGGTTAACCTAAGGTTACCCAGTCTACCTAGCTTTCATTTGTGCTTAGATCATTTTTTCATCTCGTTCGTGTCGACAATTACCCTATGGTCGGCCTATCCAGTAAGGTGCAGAGAACCTCATATTCTTATGAGGATCCTAAATCTTACCTCTGAAACAGCATATACTTCAACATTTGCTCCATGGCATTCTTGACTTGAATGAAATTGAGAACGATATGACATATATTAATCGGATGGATGGATCTGATTTGCTAGGGTGAGGAAGAGAGTCTCTGACAATATCCATGAAACTTACACTGGGAAATTTTCAACAGCTCAATGATTCATTTATATTGTTGTCCTCTTTAACTACATACACCGCCAGGCGCCAGGAATCTCACCAAGTCATCTCCGCACACACATACTTCAATAGAACAGTTGGTATGCGAACCTCAAGGGGAGTTGTCCTTGAGTAGTTTTCCCATCAGCTGTAGCGTGTGTGTGTGGCTTCAAGTTGTGCAGACAAGATCCGCAATGCTTAAAGGCTACAGTAGTTGAGGCATTTATAACCTGTCAAACGACAGGAGCGCTCATTGGTTGGATTTTCTACGCGAAACGCCTGCGTTCTGCCTGCTTTTAATTGGTCAATTTCTGCTGCAATTTCGCAGCTAATTTCTGTGCCGTACTGCAAATTTGTACTGATTTCTGCGCCCTGCGCAGCTTTTTTGAACGAACAGAGCCATTTCTTCTATCTGCTGCACATAACCCTAACTGGGTGTAGATGGAGTGCCATCACATTCAGCTCGTGAGCCCCTCAGCACCAAAATCCAAGAAAAAGTCAAGGACAATATCATATCCTCACCAGCTTCCGCCTATGGACTCTTGAAGAGATCGAGAAACAAGGATCATCTACATCATCTCTGAGAAATTGAATCTACAGTCTCGTGTATCAGCCCGAGTTTGTTACGCGTATTCTGAATCACTCCAACAACCTACACTCCCTAAATTCAGGCAGCATGGCGAGTCTGCCGCCTGAAATTTGGGCATTGGTCCTGGATTATGTCGCTCATTCCGACTTGAAAAACTGCCGTTTACTTAATCGGCAGACCTGCTGTCTTGCGTCAGGCTTGTTCTTTTCAAAATTATGTACCACTCCAAGCCATAACAGCTTGAATCGAGCCGCAAATATTGCCAGAAACCCAACTATTAGCCAACACACGAAAACGTTTGTATATCATATAGATGCTCTGCACAACGAACCCGATCAATATCAGCTACATCTTCTACGGCACTTCCGTTCGGGGCCCAACCCTCATGGTTCTGATCTTGCTCGTGAGCAGAAGTACTCCCGTTTGGACGAGCTCACTGCTGACCTCGGTATAGCAAAAGAAATGATAGAGGATGATGGTGAAGGGTATAGGCTGCAGCGCCTCCTGACGAAACTTCCGAGCCTGAAGTCCATCCAGCTGAGATGCACGAACGAAGCATATGCGCCCAGAAGCAATGTTGGAGGTTATGTGGGGCAGTTGGGCAAGCTTAAGCTTCATCCCGTGACGGGACGGTTGATTCTGGTCCTGCTCCTTCTAATGAAGAACCCCAGTACCCCAGTCACATCAATCGTATGTGACAGGCTAGACTGGGACTTCTTCTACAGAATATCGTCAATAGGATCAACCGCATACTCACCTTTAGATCGGTTGCGCCATCTTCAGCTCGACTTCACGTTGCTACACGATCATGCGGTTGCAGCAAGCCTGTCCTGCCCTGAGAACTTTGAGCAATTTTTCAAGGCTACGTCCAATCTTGAGGTACTGATCCTGGACTTTGGGGCCTATGACAATTATGATATTGCTGATGGCGCAGAAGCAATAGGAAATGCGATTCTTGCTTCCAGAAAATGGTCACGCCTAAAGACATTATCCCTTGCAGGCTTCATATTTGGACATGACGAGCTGCTTAACTTCCTGGACCTCCATCCGACCTTGCGGAACCTGCGTCTTTCCCAGATTTTCTTGTACTCAGGTACTGTTCTGTCACTGATTCTCGAACTGCGGAAAAACGCGTCTCTGAATCACCTTTCTTTTCATGGCGTTTATGATGATCGTATCTTCGAAGATGACCTTTCTGAAGGGAGCGGGAGTTGTATAGCACCTGCAAATGTGATGCATAGTTTGGGGCAAACCGATTCTCGGTCGATATCATGCTCTCCGGATGAAGAGGGTCCAAGATGCGCTGGGTACAGGGCCGATGAATGGTTTGGGGGTGATGGCTCATGGTGCACATGTGATGGCACACCCGCAGACGAGAGCACTTCTCCATCTTGTTGAACTCCAAAATACAGTTTGCGCTATCCTGCTACGCGTTTCACATGCGTTTTGTTACAGACTTGTTACGCGTTTCCCATGAGCTCCGCATGTATTTTTGGTATCTGCGTTTCACGCTATTTAGCTTGGTATCGCAGAAATTGTACGTATAAATACGCTCTCTTTTCGCACCGAATAGATAGAACAACCTAGCTATTTTTCTATTGATCCATTGATTAGTCAGCAAAGTTCGACACATCTTAATTGTCTGCCAAGACTATTACTATCTAATCAATCATGACATATCTCAAAAAGATGCATTAGATACACCGTCAAAATTTGAGCCAAATTTATCATTTCAGTAACTTGAGGCAACCAATCATGAATATGGCTATTCTACTAAACACTTGTTGTGAGCACATTGGTCGTAAGTTACATCGATTGCGCTTTCCAAACAGGGACCTCACCGCATACCCATTTGACGACTAGAAATGTTCACAAGGTAGCACTATCGAGCTTTTTTATCCATCCGTGACCCTGCGATTCGTCATGTCCTGTCGGGTCGGGTAGGTGCTCCAACACTGGTCGATATGCAAGCTCCATCTGTGACATATTACCAATAGTCTGATTTTGGAGAATTCTTTTTGAGTCTTTCCCGAGGATCGAATCTGCCAAAAGATGCTTTTGCCGTCCAGTAGCTGGGCCCATTGTCGGACTTGAGCCCAGCAGATCAGTTCTGGTAGCAGGGTGACACGGAGTGTGTACGCTCTCAGATGAATTGAATATAGCTCCTTCGGCGTACGGAATCTTGTCTAAATCAAACTTTAGGTGTAAGCTGATCCAATGAAGCTTGTAACTGGTGATGCTGTCGTAGCTCTGCCAAAAACCCTTTGCATGTTTTTGGGTGTAGCTGCGATACGATTTGTAATCAGATTAGATTATCAGTGATATTTTACGATATTTTATTTAAAAGATTTCAATTCCATAAGCGTAACAGGCCAATACACAACCGTGGCTAAAAGCGAGCGTTTGCTTCAGCAAATGACTATAACGGGAATCGCGCATTAATTCAAACATTCGTTGGTATAGAGGTATAAGATTAGGTGAAAATGGTTTCAAAGTTATAAGAGTTTCATACATTGAAGTACCTTCGAGGTTTTGACAGATTAAAGGCTCAAAGCCACTCAAAAAAAGGTGTCTTTCATATTCGAGATCAGATATTCTTGGACAGAGCTCTTTATTTCATCGTCGTATCCATTGATTTGAGCAAGATGATCCGTTTTATACTCGATATATTTGTTGACAGCCGTGGAAACGGATTCTGTGTTCAGCTCAAGAGACAATCTTGTTTTGTCTTTTGATTTCTTGAGCTACTCCTCAATTTCTGGCCAATTGCGACTAGAGATAATCCATTTAACGCGTGGAAGAGGCAGTAATGAAGGTGATAATACCTAGACGATCAGATCTAGCAGCTTCTATATACATATGTAATTAATCCATCTTTATGTTTTTGATAGACTCTAGCAAGACAAACGCCTTGTGATCTATGACCATAAGATTTATGACCAACATTAATGCAATGATTAAGACAGCCATAGATGCCTAAAGGGGTTGTTATAAGTACTCCTGATTATGATAGACAGATAGCGACGACGGGGACTTACTAGACCGTTTGCAGACAAGACGCTGCCTTTAAGGATGGGTGCCAGAACGCAAAGAGTCAACCCGTAAATGTACAGCACCCACGACCAGCTCGTAAGCATCACCGATACCTGCCACCAATATTGTTTGAACCTACTCTTTCTCCCTTGTCGGAGGCAATTTTCACTATGACCGGGGTCTGTTGATCTTTTTACAGATCTCTTTGAGGTAACATCTTTGCCGTCGTCATCAGGAAAGTCTAATATCACACAGAGCATATCGTGAAGACGTTCTGATGGGACTGTCGAACCAGGCTGGTCCGGAAGGAGGTAGGTGGTCTGACGGATAGCAGCAGAGCAGAGCACGGCAGAAATAGACATATAGATGCTCGTGAACCAGAGGTATTTCGCAGGGAGATATAACACAGCTGGTTCAGGCCAAGTGAGTGCCGCGGTTGCCGCAGCAGCACATAAAGGACTCTGAATGACATTAGTCGACTGGACGCTTCCATTTCACACGCTTAAGGATTCTTACCGCCACACGAATGAACTCGATCTCCACAGTCTTTCTCACTTTGAATAGATGGAGATATTTAATGACTTCCTTGGGAGTATCCTGATTCTCATAAATCGCGTCCATGGGATCAAGGGTGTAGTAGTTTAACGCTCCGAAGTATGTAAAACAAACAATGCGCAGCCATGTCGCTCGCTGGCGCCTACTAAAATAAGCGTGCGCATCAACAGTAAAATTGGGGCATTTACCTTGAGCGTTGACGAGGACCTTCATGAAAAGGCAATTTCATGCCTTCATTGAAATCTTTCGCCACGCTCTGCCCAGCCAACCAGGCGCGTATCATATCTTCTGAAGATGCGAGTCTTGAATCATGTTCAAGCCCGGCCAATAACTACAGATCAATTCGCCAGGTTCAGTAAACCAAGGACACCGACGGAGATTCCTTGTTTGAGATGGAGTTCACAGTATTCACTTTAAATTCAGGAATAAGGCACCAGACATATCGATAGCGTCCTGTAGCCACAAATGAGTTATTCTGTAATGAGGTCTTTGTCTTGACGCTGCCAGATATTGGCATCAAACTACAGTGCCACTTTTTAACTTCCTGCGCCACAAACTAGTAAATTTTCTTCCCTTTTCTGTCTTTCGCGAAGCATACTGCTTCCTACAACCTTTCTTCAATCCCTTGCAACTGCCTGCGTTTCTTCTGCTTGTTTCTGCTTGTTTTTACACTGCAAAGTTTGCTACACCTTCAGTAATGAAGAAATGATTACCTGATATCTACAAGGAAACCGAGCTGAGCAAGCTCGATTGTTCTGAATACGATGAACCAAGTAGCACCATCATATGTGGAAGAATATCTGCCAGTGAGATCTTAACCGCATCGGATCAACAAAAGGAGGACAAGGTCCGACTACAAGGTCTTAGTGTCATAGCACCGAATGTGTATGTTGGTATGCACGTTCAATTCTCAAGGCTCGGTCACGAAATTCTTAACATCTTTCCTCAGGGGCTCTTCGCAGGTATTCAGTATCTCATGTACGACTTTGCCATATCTCCCGGAGTCGGAGTTCATCAGTGGAATATTCAATTAAGGATGCTACCTCGTCTTTTCTACGTACGTATAAGGAATTCCGCAATCACATATCGAAGATATTGATCTCATGAAGCGAATCCACCTTGCTACAATCTTTTACGGCCTTGTCATCATGCCTCTCAAAGGCGCCATTCTGTTAGACTGGCTCCGTATCTTCATACCCCGAGGCCAACGGAATGCCATGGATAAATGCAAAGCAAGTCTCCACTCACAACCTGGGACCAGTCGGCGCTTTTCCACTTTCTCAACTGCTGGTCTCAGATATAGGTCTTACGCCTCCTCTGTAATAGTTGTCTGCAAGTCTCTTCCATCTCAATGAAGGTGAAGTTTCCCCAGGTGTGATCGAGGATGAATATTTCCTGTTCATCCAGCTAGAGTTGTCGTCAGGACAGTCACTTGCCCAATGCCCCAATTTTCCACATGCAAAGCACTTATTTCGGTGTGTTCCCTTGTCACTTCTGCCCTGTCTAGGTCGTGAAATAGGGTCTGTGCAATTAACAGCGTTCCCTTGTGCAAGATTGCTACGCATGGCTGCCCCCATCTTCTTGACAACATTCCCCACTGTCTCAAAGTCTTCCTCGGTGGGCCTCCCATACTTGTTCATGTTGAAGTGAGTCCGCGCGAGGGAGAATTTGCTTGTTGCATCATATCCCACATTCGGCGAAGAGAACTCACGCGATGCTGCACTTTCGACGGCATTCCGCGTCTGCGCCACTTGTTGAGCTGGGACGACCATCAGCAGCTCCTTCATGTATGCTGATGCCACCGCCGCCGGGTATGGCTGCCATCTCTTGTTCTTATGTGAGTCGGCGTAGTCACAGATGCCTCTGATGACGAGACACGGAAAGTCGTTCATCAGCCCGGCTGCTTCCATCTCAACGCACAGAATTTTCATATCTATCTTCAATTCATCTTGCACTTCTGAGTCCTTCACGACAAGATTCGCGGATCCGATCGTGCCGTAATGTATTCGCGGTTCATTGTCTGATCGAGCGTGGCGAGATATCGTTTGTTGTCGATCGCATTTGTCACAGGTCACGCCAGGTTGATGCGTGTAGGATGTGAGAAACAGCTGATGGGTTCGGCAGAAGGCGTTGAGGAAGGGGGAGGGTGTGCATACTCGCGGCAGTAGTGTTCAACCGAGGGATCTTGGGATGTTGGGTGGCGGTGCGAGTCCCAGACCTGGTGCTGCTGGTGGAAGGAGCAGGGCGGGCAATCCGGCCTTGGGTACGATGAGCGGAGTGGGAGGGAATCATCCAGCTGTGGGCGGCATGGCTAGTGCGTTGAGGAATTGTGAGTCTACTATAGTATAGCGCTCCTGATAATATCTTGAAGAATCCATGTCCCTCCCTGAGCTTCCAATTTTTATCCTCCAAGAACTCTCTGCCTCTTAGCCGACGCTGGCTCTGACGCAATGGCCTCCTTCTCGGAATCTGACAAAGCGTTGGCGACGACAGGTGAGAATATCCCCTCGCCTGTTTAGACGCCGGAGCAGTACGATGGGGGAAGTTGGCTGTTGTTCGTTGCCAGAAAGACATTTCCCCTGGGTGGCGACTCTGACGTTCGAAACGGCACAGTTCCTGGCCCTTCAGGCATGATGACTCTGTTTGGATTGAAGGATCGAGGATCGTGGATGCGAACAAGTGCCCAGTCGCCTTGCAATGATATCCATTTTGTCGTGTCTGATCTCCCACCTTAGGGAGTATGCACATACGAAGCTTGGCGACTGCCAGGAAGATAGCCAAGAAGACTGAGGCAGCTGAGGAAATTCGACATTTCGCGGGCAGGAATATGTGAGGTTTCTAAGTCGTGATCGAAATGACCTAAATATACAACATTGTTCTCCGGTGCCAAAAGCCTCGACAAATCATGGTGATCATCCTCTACCATAGGCGGGCCCCTGGACTGTGCTTGATGGAATGCATCGAAGTCACTGTCCCAATCACTTCCTCGATCCCATTGTTCGTCAGGATGCTCGTCAGGATGCTCATCCGATTGTTGATCGAAGGGCTCCTCAGACTCGTCCAACTTCGCCTCTGGGTCCTCCTTGTCTTCCTTGGGGAAGGCATGCGCCACTGACAAGATAGTATCGGTTATCGAGGAGGAGGAGAAAACCACCAAGCGTTGCTTGCCTCCAAAGATTCAGCCTCGAAATTGGTGTTGAGGAGATGAAAATCCTGGAGCCCCCCGGCAGGGCAGGTTGCTCGGTAAGGTCGATATCAGAAACGTGCTTTTCAGCTGATCCATTTACCAGGCTGATGTCCTCCCGCCAAGGCAGAAAGTCGAACCCCAAATCGAGATCAGCGAAGGATGGAATTTTCTGAGCACAGAAAGCGTCCTTTTGGCGATCCTGATCTCGCTACATCTTGCAATGATGGTGAGTAGGGCTGAATCAATGACTCCTTCCCTGTGCTCAATCATCCAAAGCTCGATGGTACACGTTGGGTGCCTCTTCCGACCTTTGAAGATCCATTTTCCATTCCCCTCCTCGTTCTGGATGCGAATAACCATGGGAAAGAGCTCATCTTGCCATCTTCGAAGGACGCAACCGCTTGGCCACCACCCCATTTGGTCACCAAACAATCTCTTGGGGCCATCGCAATCAGCGCCATATTTGGAGCATTGTGAGCTTGTCCACACCATGATTGATGGCAGCTTTATCTCATTCCCGGGTCGGCAGAGCGTTATAGATCTCTTAGACGAGGTCAATTATTTCAGAATATACCTTTGCTGCAGATCAAAGAGAGCTTAAAGGCCACTAACCCACCATGGAGGTTGCCCAAGTCAGTGACAAAGCAGCAAGCAGAGCTGTCGATTCTGCATACAGCTGTAGCTGATGGTGCAGCCGAGCCCGCGAATGCACTTGAGGGTCCCCGGGCAGTGAAAGAGATTGTTACGCAAAGCTTGGAAACCATTTCAACAGCCTCACCCTTCCCTATGAAGACGTCATCACCTGAACTTTTGTAGCCTGATTTCAAAGCAAAGAATTTGATCCGAACAGGCGGAATTGATGTTATATGGACGAGCTTCCTATCCGAGCATCTATAGATTGTGCGTGGCGATCAGCTCAAAGTGTTCGGGCATGTTTCCCTCCCTTGAAAATATGCAAAGTCAACTGAGGTGTACGTCAACTTCTTTTCTTGAACCGTACTCATCCCTCGCTTTTGAAGTGGGATTTGGCATAGTTGCAGTTTTGACCAGCCATCGCTCGAACTGACGTCGATCGTGCTTAGAAACCTATATCCAGACAGCTTTTGGGAGGAGACCGAGGAGACAATAGACCTGCTTTTCCCAACCAGAGACAGCAAAGATTCCAGCCGTACACAAAGACTACGCGACAGATACAATGTAGACATCGAAGCCGCTCGAGAGCTACCGCCGGCAATGACGGTTAGCCATTACAAGCACGGGGCCCACGTCTAACGGTTGTGCAAAATGTATATGATTCGTCGAGGCCGAAACGTCCCTTGCAGTGGTGGTATGATCGTTGAAACAGGACAGAGTGGGCAACCCTGGCAGTAGCCATTGTTGTGCTCGTCCTAACGCTTCTTTTTGGCATCATCTCGTTGGTGACAGGCATCATACAGGCATCATACAGGCATAAGCGTCAGTCAGAAGCATGAAATAGGGTATGTTGCTGCTGTTTCATAGCCGGCACCGTCATTCGCGAATCCTCACCATCTGTACCCACTTCTTCCACTCGAAGCTTTCGGCATCATTCCAGTGCCAAGTTTCATGCAGGCCTATGCATTTCTGAAGAGCTACGGAGTACTACGTAGTAGTAGATGTGTGCTGACACTGACAGCAACGCGCAGCTGACATGGATTACTCATCATGCATTAATGCCAACTTTACAGAGTACATAGTACGTAGTAGTACTTTTTACTTTCCCGTGAAGCCGCTTCCAAATGCCCTGCTGCCCCTGAAACTTGACCAAAATCCTTCTGTTCTTTCTTCTCTGTCCTCTCTCGGGGCGGATTCAGGCGTCTCTCGTACTCAGTCTGGCCGGTGGTGTAGTAAGTCACTCTCATGGATTTCTCTGGATTCCTAGACAGGTGGAAAGAATGGTACTGCAATGTCGATCAAAGATTCAAATCTCAAGCTGAGACACGCGTTCCCTACTCGAGTACCGACTGATCAGCATGAACCCTGCTGGCTGCGGAGAAATACAACGAATGGCTCGTGGACCAAGCCGCCAACCACGTCTCCACCCACTGCACCTACTGCACGCTTATCAGTTGCCGGAATGTGCCTCGCCCAATTAGGCACCAACACTAGTGATCAATTTGTCCGAATATTGCAACCACATCATCCACCGCTCATCCACCACGCAGCCTCAGTGCTCCCCCTGCTCGTGCCATTCTCAGAACTTGTCCGCTCCTTTCGCCGGTGACTTTCTCGCTTACAACATGAGACAAGCCTTCAACCATCATTCGTTAGGGGTCGGTTTCTTTCCCAGCTTTACCCAACAAGCTTTGTGCCTGAGACTCACGAACAAACTGGCCCCAAGGTAGTCGAGGGTTTCACTCCCATGGATTGCTTGATCTTGCCTGTTGTGGCCCCTGCTTCTGTCAGGAACCATCGCTAATGTAAGTACGGACTAGGCTGTCTTAGAAGGATCGCCTAGATGCTGCCGTCGCTTTCTCTTGGTTTCCCGAAGTCTTTCCCGTGATGAAGCAGCGTTGTCGAGTCTTTCCCTTCTATTGTCTCATTTTTCATTTTGGGTTTTTTGATTGCAGTTTCTTGTTCATGTTTACCCCACAGTCATTGCTAGTAACCTCGTCTACTCGTCTCTTTACAGGTATACCATCAGTACTGCTGCTGACTCGTGCATGCTTGAGATTACCGTCTATCCTTACGTACAACACCAATTGAACCCCTGTCCCGCAAACGATATGGAACTTTGTTACATCATCCCTGTACACAACCGTTGGGATCTCCAACAGTTCTAAACTCACACAGAATATATCGTGCAAGAGCTTCCGATCTCACATCAACTCACCAACAGTTCGTCTACCGAATCCCAATTGAATCACGATCTTGCATGAAAAATCGAGTCCAATATCACATGCGTCAGAACTGAGTGAGCAGCTACACTACGTTCTGTGCCCATATTGCAGTGTTCATGCAGGACGTGTCATGGCAGACAAGATCTCAATTACCATCTGTGGGGATGGCGGATGTGGTACGTCAGACAAGGGAGAACGAGGAAAGCCAGATATTTGCTAGGCTAACATCAATTTTTGCTCGAGAACAGGCAAGTCCTCAATAACGCTTCGTCTTGTGCGATCACAATGGACCCAAGAGTTAGTCAGAACGATGTTTCCATACTTCCAAGTGAAACTCCGTCATTGAAACTGACACCGTTGTCCATTCTAAAGATACGACCCCACAATCGAGGACTCGTACTCGGTAACCCGCACCATCGAGGGTCGCTCTTATCATCTCTACCTTACCGACACCGCCGGCCAAGAGGAATACCGTTCCTTTTGGGCCAGTTCCAACCTCTCCTCCGACGCCTTTTTGCTAGTTTACGACCTCACTAATCCTTCCTCGCTCGATGCACTTACCCATTATATGGAGATGATCGATATCGAGACCGAGCACCGGGTAGAGGAGAATGCCAGCCTGCTGAAAAGTGACGGTGGAGTCCTAGGAGAAGAGGAGCGGAAGTTGGTCAAGCCGATGCCGGTCAAGATCGTTGCTGGGAACAAATGCGACCTCAAGGCAGACAGGAAGATAAGTGCAAGGCAGGGATTGAATTGGGCGAGAAGACGGGGTTGTGGATTCATGGAGACCAGTGCGAGGGAGGTGGTGAATATTGAGGAGACTTTTGCCCGTACGTGTGGATGTTCCGTCTCAACCACTGTTCCCTTTTCCATCACACCAGGTCACTCCACCAAAGCATCACAGCTGAAGTGTCAATCCACTTGATTTAGCCTGAGTCAAGCTCATGCCTTCTAGTAATCGTCCGTCGCGTTATCGAAGCCCGCCGCCAATGCCAAATCAACCCCATCAACCCCAATCCCTACAGCGGCCCCAACACTTCCGTCCGCACCTCGATCATGAATCTCACCAAAGAAAACGCGCTCAGAGCCGCCGCTGGTCGTGGAGATAACGACACCATGGTGGCCGTCGCCAGGACACCCGCTCTCCTCCGTCCCACTACCGCCGAATATGATGATGAGGAAAAGAGAATGATGGTGAAGAAGGGGGAGAGTACGAGGTTGGATGGCAGGCCTGTGAGGAGGAGATCGATCCTGGGGAAGGGGGTGAGTATATTGGGAAAGTTGAAGTGTTGGGGTAAGACGAGACGCCGATGACCCTGACTGACGAGATGGTGCGGGTTGTTGCAAGTGAGATAAGGTCAGGCGGTTCCCGGTGCAGGCTTGCCATTGACATGTACGTAGTGAGCGATGCCATTCCCAAATCTTCACGATATTTAGATAACTACATTGCATGACCTTGTAAGACCAAATGTTCAGTTGAACGCCAGACCTTTTCACAGTCAAATACAGAACCATGTACGAGGTTGAGTCGCTCGTGAGAAGCATAGCCCTTCCAAGGAAACAGGAGACTTTCAAACATAACAAAATCGTCTTTCTCAGCACACCAAATACGGAGGAAGTCTCTCTTCTACTATTCTGTGAGACTGCATCTTTTGACGAGGCACCAAAAGTCCCTTACCACCCTACCTTGCCTCTCGATCTTCCCCAGGTTCCCCCCCTACCAACGCCCCCCCGCAACTTTCGCCCAATGAGCAAAAAGCCTTCAACCACCTATCCTCAAGCCACCATTCTTCTTCTGCCTCTCACCAGCCGTCCCGGTCAAATGCATACCCGACACTAGAATCTGCTCAGATCTGTGTTTTTAACAACTGACAGCCCATCTTGCTCACCCTTGCCCACACCATCATCAATCCATCCATCCATCCATCCATCCATCCATCCATCCATCCATCCATCCATCCATCCATCCATCCATCCATCCATCCATCCATCCATCCATCCATCCATCCATCCAAAAACAACCACCGGCAGCTGCCACGGTGTAAACTGCCAGTCAAAAAGTTCAACTCTCTCTACCGAGCTTCTTCCCAGATCCACCCAATTCAACCCACAAAGAAAACACCGCTACTCCGTACAGCACAGTATAGTATCATGGGGGCATTCTCCCCCCAACCTCATTCCTAAGTTAGCCAGGTTTCGAAGAAAAAAAAAGAATGGAATAATTCAATACTCCCCTTCCTACGTCATGCCCTTTCCCTTCCTTTCCTTCCTACAGTGTAGTTACCTAGCTAGTCTTACTACATACCTGCCGACGCAGTAGATCCACATATTTTGTTAAAAAAGTGTGGGTGCAAACCCAACCCAACCCAAGCCAACGCCCCAGCTAGCTACTTCTCGGGTCCTCCGGTCCGGATGTCCGCCGGGGTTGTGGTTAGCTTGCTAACTAACTAGCTAAGGTAGCTAGTTAACCACCACCACCACAAGACAGGACAAATATACGTAGTAAGTAGTTATCCACCATTAGTCACCCAGTTTACACCATCAGTCAACGAGCAGCTAAGCAGCCATCCGGTCGATGGGTCGATGGGTAGAAATTGCCAAAGGGAATCGCAGAAACCGCAGCATCATCACCCAAGCACGCTGGGATTCAAGGTCGAGGGGGTGAGGGGGGGGGGTTCTTCCACCTCAAGGGGAAAAAACCCAAAACCGAGGAACTGGGATATATTTAAAAATATTTTTATATATATGTATATATGGGCACACGCAAACAAAATTTTCAATATTCCACAAACCCCTGTTCTGAATTCACCCCCCCACCCCTCAATTTTTTCTTTTTTTTCCCGCTGGTCAAAAAAAAATCACAAGCAAACTTTCCGGGGACTATTGTCAGGAAGAAAAAGAAGGGAAAAAAATTGTGTGTGTGTGTGTGTGTGAGAGAGAGAGAGAGAGAGAGAGAGAGAGAGAGAGTAGAGAAACAAAAACAAAAGGACGGAGGGATGGATATATCTGGGAGGAGAAAAAAAAAACAAGACCAGACAGATAATGATAATAAAACGCCCTCATCGCTCATAGAAGGGGAAAAAATTGGAAAACTGTGACCCCGCCCGACACCACCGCCATGATCACCGCACCAGAAAAAGGGGGGTTGGTTCGTGTATTTTTTGTTTCCCCCCCCCTTCGAGAAACACCAGCAGGCAGACACACACACTCTCTCGCTCGCTCCAAAGCACCTGCTCCCACGCTCCACGGATCACGAACACCAAGAAAACAAGGAAACTCCAATATTCAAGTCGGTAAGATATCACTATGTGGTGGTTCCGTGCCTTCATCGATCCTGGGGGGTAAGCTTCCCCCGGACGTTGCTGGTTCGAGTTTCGGCATCTTCTTCAGCGCATGCATTGTAGTTGATCCTCCGCCCGCAGCTGGTGGTTGTTGTGGTTGTTGTTGTTGTTGTTGATGATGGTGAGGCGACTTCAATCCAGCTTCTGGCGGCGAGGTGCGAAGAGGAGAGTTTGACGACTTTTCACCCTGATCTCCTGACGTCTTGCGGGGTGAGACACGACCGCTCTGTCCGAAGAGAAAGACAACGTGGTCAGCGAAGTGTTGACATACAAGGATGAGGAACAAGGGCGTTGTTACTGACCTGTTTCGCCCACCTCAGCCCACAGCTGTTACACAGGTCACGCCGTCCGCTCGGGCCTCTTCTCCACTCCGGGGTAACTCTGGTATGACAATTCGCGCAGTCCTTCTCCATCTGCCCAAATCCTTTCCTCCTCTTCCTCTTCTTTCTTCGGCTCAGTAGGCCCTGCAGTTCTTCGATGAGGATCCGATTTTGCTTTTCCATCTGACGTAGCTCGAATTGCCAGCTGGTGCTTCGGGTGGTTTTTAGTTCGTCGAAAATGTTGTCGTCGGATGCCAGAGCCTCGGCTTGGTTCCCGATACAGAGGCCAGCGCTGGTTTGAGAAGTGACGCCGCTGTCAAAACCGGGGGTCTGTAATGGTGTTTGGGATGACTGAGGTGTGATGGGTGGTCGAGATGGTGTGTGTGCGGTGGTGGTGGTGGGCGGTGGGGTCACGTTGGTTGACGAGGTGGTGGAACCAACCGAGGCCTGGTCGGTTCGTGGTGAAGGAGCAATACTTGGCCGCGACGTCGGAAGGGTGGATCGGGACATTTTCAGGAATCGAGTTTGAGCGACCAGAAAAGTTGGCTTGCTGCCTTCTTCAGCATCTCCGGGATAGATGGTGGTTTGTGCCTGCAGCACTTGTCCTCTTCGATTTTGCATCTCATGTTTGAAGGTGGTGGACTTCTTTCCTGTTCGTGCAAGCTCTAGCACACGAGTAAATTCCTTTTTGGCCTCTGCTCGCATCATTGCCTGGATGCTGGTCCCAACCAATTCGGCCGGTGAACGGTCGAGGAGCGCCCGGCAATTCGTAGACACGAAAAGGAACATGCCCGAAGTGGACATCTTGCTCCATAATTCGCTGTCACCGATTCCTCCGTTCGCAGTGACTTCAGTCCTGCTGGTCGCATACACTGGTCTTTCTCTACCCACCATAATGATACATTTTCGGCCTTTACCTTGTTCCGTGTGCAGACAACCATGACTCTCGAACCAGGTGTAACCACTATGCTTCCTGCGGATGCGGAACACGACATTGACGCTGGCACCACTCGAGGTGTCTTTCAATTCACGTGTCACCGGTACGATATCGCTGGGATGGCAAACAGACGACAAGGCTGTGCCCACCAGCTCACTCGCATCGTATTCCAGGACTTTGCGACTGGCCGGAGAGAGGTACAAGAAAAGTCCTTTGAGCGACAGAACATGCACTACGTCGTCAGTATTCTCAAGAAGGACCTTGTCCCAGATTCGTTTCGAGAGCTCCGATTCGCCCGAACCAATCGTGCTGAGTACAGCCGAGACCTCATCACGTCCAATCGTCTGACCAATGTCACCCTGTAACGTGTTCGTATCTGGTGTCTTCAAGACATAAGGTGGTAGTTGATTCCGTTGATAATTGATCGCGTATGTGCCATCTGCACAGCATCAGTGGTGTCCTTGCAAGACAGACAGCTATTGTGCCTACCTGGATTCTTCCCTGCCACAGAGTTTGGTTGTTCCACCAAATCCACCTGGAATCCTACATAATACTTGTACTCCCTAGTATCCCATGCTACAGGTATCATAGTCAACAAGTTCATGAAAGGCTGCCCTCCCTTCCGGTAGTTGATAAGGCTGAGCTGGATTTCTTCTCTTCTGCTAATCTTCTGTTTCAGCGATAGCACAGAGTTGTCATCGACATACTTTCGTCGCACTCCAGGCTGTACTTTCCCATCTGGAGCTTGAAGAAATCGACAATTCCGCCCAACAATCTCCTGATTCGAATAGGCCGTAAGCCGTTCAAACACGTCTGAGCAATATACGATCGGCATGTCGGGTAGACTGATATCGCACACCACGAATGCACAGGACAAATCCACTGGTCCGATGTTGATCTCCGGTTTTGGTCTTGCCGCGACTCGCATCTGGTCTGCATTAGTCATGCACGAACTCGCATATCAGAATCGGAAGATGACACCCACCAAAACACCCAACATGTCGAAACCGCTGGCGGAGTAAATGTTAACGAATTGAGGCTGCGGAGGTTTTCCTAGACCGTGATCTGCGACCTCATTCGCAGCGCCGTTAGATACTAGTCTCAGATTAGTTCCGACCTCTCCCATCCCGGCAATATGTTACTTACTGCCGTTGCCGTATGGACTCCTGATGCGCGCATTGACGTTTGGAGGTGCGGTCGATGGTGGCGGATGTGCGGGTGACGCCATTGCCGATATGCCAGATCCTCTGGTTGTTGGCATGATACTGCGTGGCTCTGTGCCCTGGGTTTTCATTACAGGTATGTTTTGTATAGCATCTGGCATCCTCATGCGCGAGACTCTGTCCATCAATGATTGGTCCATAGATGCACCACGACCTGCAGGGGAGTCTTGGCCCATGTTCTGGAACATTGGTGAAAAGGTTTGATGCGTGGGAGAAGCAGGGAATATGGCTTGTTGTGGCTGCTGTTCTATCTGCGGTTGGACATTCATGGCAGGTCGATCACCGCTGACACCATCGAAGCCCATGGGAATCTCCATGTTGGAGAGAAACTGGGCCGAGTGATCGAGATCGAGAGGGGTGCTACTCATCATGGCTGGAGAGTAGCTGGAAATACTGCCAAAAGCAGGGTTCATGCGGTTGAAGCGTGTATCGAGAGCTAGACTTTCTCGCGATCTTAACTTTCGGGGATCTGACGTCTTCTGAGACTGCCCGGTCTCGGCCAGCGGACCTGACATAGCAGGGTGAGGTGGACTTGGATCAAACTGAAAATTCGGCCGGTCAGGATGTTTGGACGAGGCGAAGTCGAGCATCGATGACCGCTGTGCATCTGCTTCCTCGTCCCCATTCGGTTGATATGCTGAGTTCAACGTTGACCGTCGCCTCTGCAATTCTAATTCGTTCTGGCTGATGATCTGATCCAATGTTTGGCCTTCTTCACCGACCATCGTGGTGTCTACCATGCCTGGCACCATGTCTGGCACCAGGTCCTGTTGCATGAATGTGTCCATAGACCGGCTCGGGTCCATGGACTGCTGGTATTGTTGGCCATAATATTCAGACAGGACATTCTGCGCCATGGTGGGCAATCACCGCAGCCAGCGCACTGTGCGGAGGCGATTTTGCTTGCTAGAGCGAGAAGTAGCCAAACTTATGTGCCGGCTGTGCCCCAAGCCGGAGTCGCCTGGAGAACAGAAGGACCAAAGCGAGAATTGATCCTTGAGATATGCACCATTGCAGTGTCCATGCGCAGGCAACATGCTATTTCGACAATCTCATGCGCGGCTTCAACGACCGGAGAGGAGCTCCGGTAGCCCTATCGCGCCGTTGAAAGAGGTCCAGCTTGGAGTGGCGGAAAGCGTGGTCGTGAAGGCTTGAAGGTCGTGACGCCAATCTTCATCGATAGAGAATCCTATATCGAGAATAATGATCTGATCGTACGAAGGTTGAGCAGAGGCGGATGCGATGTGTTGCAGGGTAAAGCAGTGGTTTCTGGGTGTCGGGTGGGTAAGTGTAGGGGAGTCCGGGGTGTAGGGGGTGCTGCCCAGCCTGTCCGATGCCCAGCGACTTGGACCGCTTTACGACGTTAACCAGCTAGCTTCCGCTTTTACTGATTTGTGTAGGCTGCCCTTTTGAGGCGCAACCTGACATTTGGGGGCAGCCGAGGCGGGGTTTGTGCATTTCGGCCCCTAGCTCCCCTAGCATCACCGAGCAGCACTCCACAGTCATGTCACAACAACAACAATAACACCAATAACACCAACAACACCAACAATAATGATCACAGAGTCATCACCGCAGATCCGTGGTGGAGATCAGCTTGCCTACAACACATAATGACTAGAGTGGCATATTGGCACATTGGCAGATGGCATGAACCTGAGCCAACAGGTGGTGCAACCATGATATTATGCTCCAAGTCCAAGCATGGATGGCCTGGCACGTGTCTTCCTCCGAAACACGTACCACTTCTACATACTACTTAACTAGTTAGTGTAAACCTCTAACTTAGGCCTAAGGCAACCATGTCTGACAGTTTCACAAACCGCACAAAATCCTCAGCCGGGATTTTGGTACCCACTTGGTTTTGCTGCCAGTGGCGCCATCTTCTCACGATCCTGCTTCTCTCTTTCCATCATCGCACGTGAAGCTTTGGTCACCCTGGGTTTCCGAGTCGTTGTACCTCCACGAGATCCGGGACCAGCATTGCGGCTGCCACTACCCTCACCATTAGTAGCTGTAGCGGCGGCGATTGCTGCTCCACCTCGTCCGCCTCGTGAGCCAGCTCCCCCTCCCCTACCACGGCCACGACCACGTTTGACAGTTCCGTCAGCACTAGAGAAAACACATAGTTAGTATCATCCGGGTGCTGTTCCGTAATCATAGATCCATACCGTTCTACTGCTGGCTTCTCTCCTTCCGGCACCAGAGGACCGCAGTATACAAAAAACCCATCCTTGACCGCCGCAGCTTGCGCCTCCCATGCCAGCTCACTATCATCCACGAATGGGTCATCTTGATCGTACTCTTCGACCTTCTTTCTCCTCCGCTTTTTGTGTCCATTTACATCGGTGCCACTGTTGGCGCCAGTGCCGCCGCCATTGACCCCGGTCATCGCGACGTCTCCTTCATTGTCTGAGTCTCGGTCGATGTCAACACTGACATCATCCTCCCCACTCTCGCCTGCAGATGTTCCTCCAAGTCGTGGCCCATTGGCAGACTTCTCCAACGCGGCGCCGGCAGCAGCAACGCGAGCTAATCGCTCTTTCTGGGCGGCCAAACGAGGATGTAAAGCAGCAAAGCCATACTTCTGTTCCGCAAGCTGAGCAAAGTTGATAATGTTATTGTCGTTTTCCTTGAGCTTTACATGCACTACGATATCCGGTGCCTGTTCTGAAGATGTCCCTGCTTCGGTTGCTGTATTTCCGAACAATGCGGACGAGAGCAGTCCAGATCCCTGAGGCAACAACGGCGGCGGCTGTTCTTTGGCACGTACAGGTTTCGGAGAAGGTGCATTAGACGGAGTCCCAGATGATGGCTTCTTCGTCTGATTTGTAGGTTTTGACAATGATGAATCCATTTCTATCGCAGAAGCATCTCCTTCCTTGGGCGTTGCCTGTCCGTTGAGCGGTTCGGTTGCGATAGCTTGACCGCCGGAAGGTTGTGCTTGCGGACTAGGTTTTGCGGGTGCATCAATGATGTGTGAAATAGTAACAGGAGATGCACTTGTCCGTAGTGGTACTGCTTTCGAAGGGGTGCTCGTGGTAGGCGGCGCGGTGCTGTAGACCCTCGGCGCAGGATTCCGCTCCACCATCATTGATCGGACGGGATCATAGCTCAATCTCGAAACAGGCGCTGGCGAGGTTGGTTGAGGGGTTTGATGTGGGGTGGTAGGATATGCATCGACTGTTGATGTATCATGAGTCCGGATCGGGTAATTCCCAGGATTTGTGGGGGCTGGGTTAGCCGCCGCAGTAGTCAGTGTGGATGGGTGCGGGGCTGAAAAATCCGAAATTTTAGATTGACCATCATTTGCAACAATGCTTATTGCTGCTGGAATTTCCAGCTTGGCCTTTTTTCGTGCAGACCCTGCAGCCCCAGCAGAGGCGCGTGGTTTCCGTGCAGTCTTTTCCTTTTTGTCCTTTTCAGCATCAGCAATGACTGGTTTTTTGCGTGGCCTTTTTATTTTTGGCTTTTCATCTTTGAAGGCCTGAAGAGGGGGTGGTGGTGGTGGTGGTTGTGGCTGAGATTGCAGATTGGAGGTGCGGCCTATAGTGGCTGTGGCTGGTGGGGTAGATGTATGGTTCTCACCACCATAATAATCCACGCGGATGGTTGAGTCTGCAAATTGGGCAGCTTCATGGCTTGAAAGTTGTTGTGAGGGTGACGGAAAGGATTGTGGTCGTTCCGGCTCGGAAGGCGGGCTGGACAAATCGGCAGTGGAACTCCTGCTCACCTCACCTCCAACATCACCACCTCCATTACCCCTTTGCACCCTGCTCATCTCCGATCGCAGTTCACCCCTGGAGCATAGAAGGGTATTGACAACACCGCAATCCAGGCGGGATTTCTGAGGGCCAAATAACCTCTTGCTATCAGGGTGGCATGGGATGATTTGTTTGCCTATTTAGGACTCCAACCGCACCCTTTTGATAGTTTCGGATATTTGGGGGTCGACGTTGACACCAATGCACACCTTCAGCTGCCTGTAGAAGAAGTGAACAGTGAAGCATCTACTGGAAGACGGCTGTCACGTCTGCTAGGAGCGTCTTTGCAACTCCTCTGGTGAATCACTGGCTTAAAAGGACCACGTCTCGGATCGGCCTGGCAGAGAGGGTGATCACGCTATTTCGAATGATGATGATGAAGCAAACGACCTTACAGACAACAGGGGCAAGAGAGAGGGAGAGAGAGAGAGAGAGAAGGAGGAGGAGCTCTTTGCTGGACGAAAATCTGGGGGGGGGGACAGATATAAGATCTCTCCAGTGTACAGGCATAGCAGTGGGTTGCAGCGGCGGCAGCAGCAGCAGCAAGCAACACCGAAATCCGCGATTCCTTGTGTCACAGATCAAAGGGGACAGTAGCTTTGGGGGGCAGCGCCAGGAGCCATGATTTGCGACTACGGCCGCTGTGGCTGACTGGTCAGTGGTTATTGCTGTCATCTTCGTAGTAAGTTAGTTCGAAGTTCCCATGCTTGGCTGGCACCGCTTTCACTATGCTTCCGTGATCATGATGTTGAAAAGAACTTCACCAGGGGGCAAGCCGCGACTGGAGTGAGTGGGTCATTGTGGCTGATATTGCAAGGGGTTCTGAGATGACATTGTTGTCATGCATCCAATTGCGAACACATCGGTTGCATCCCCATTGAGTGGTGTCCCCTCCGTGAAGTGCACTCGGTCGAAGCATTGCCAAGGCATTCATCAAATACTACTAGTAGTAGTAGGAGTGGATCCACATCCTCTGAACAATTGAATTGATGTACGCAAACAAGGAGATCAGATGGGCGTGAACTGCTACGTCTTGCTCCATGTGCTTGGCTGCAAGCCTACAACTCGAAGTGTGTGCATTATGCATGACTCTCCAAATCATGTGGAAAGCCACAGTGCGAAAGAGGGAGAGAGTTGCGCTTGATAACCCAAGGACACGGCAAAGATACGGATACTGCAGCAGGGCTAGCTCGCTTCGACATAGCGCCCAACTTTAACCACTAGCCGCAAATCTATCTGCAAGTCAACCTTAATTCTTAATTGATTCCTTAATTCTTAATTAATTCCTTAATTAATTCTTGACTTCGCCACCACGGCCTCTGCTCCCGCTCCCAACCCATCAATCTTCTGCTCCGACATGTCATTGCGAGGACAGAGGTTTGAGCTCGACCTTGGTGCTGAAGAGTTCACCCCCAAGCCGTTGAGCGCACATGCAGCCGAGGTCGCCTCAGATTTCTCAGATTTCAGCTTGGTAGGAGAAATCAAGGAACGTACCCCGGCAGCTGCGCCAACTGCTCCCAAGCCCCGGGATTCTAATACTGGCTTCCCAGCGCACAAGAAGAGATCAACCATATCAGCCTTCAAACAGCAGCGAGGCTCTCAAAATGTGCAGTCCAATAGACCAGGAAGGTTGCAGAATCCGCCTTCGGACAGAGCGATAGCGCATCATATCAGCAAGAAATATGGCTACAGTATTGATGCAAAGGAGAGGCAGGAGATCAATGAAGAGAACAAGCAGCGCATAGCAGAAATGTCACCAGAGGACATTGAGGAAGCCAGAGCGGAACTGATGTCCAGCCTCAATCCGGCGCTCATCGATCGACTACTCAAGCGAGCCAACATCGACGAGAAATGCGAAGAGCAGAATCACTGTACTCTACACACGATGGACAGCGAATCGCCTCCCACCTCCAAAAGCCTGGAACCAGAAACGCCAAACCAACCCCAACCGCCAGATCCCCCTTCCCAATCCGACCACCACCTCGTCCCGCCAATCCACTTCCCACAACCCCCAATCGACCCCGCAACCTTCACCCCGCTCGACCCATCCTCTCCATCCTTCCTCGAAGACCTGAAAACCCATTATTTCCCCTCTACACCCCACGACCCCTCTTCGATGGCCTGGCTGACCGACCCCTCCGCAGAAGAAAACCAAGAATCCCCCTACAACCCGGACAGAGACAACTACCAGATCTCCCAGCTCCGATTCTCCTTCACCGGCGCGCTGATCCCTCCCACCGAGTCCCTCAACATACCCGTCGACCAAGGTCTGCATCACCACGGCCTCGCCCCTGCCAGCGCAGGCTACACCGTCCCCGAGCTAGCCATCCTGGCGAGGTCGACGATGCCGAGCCAACGATGCGTGGCATATCAGATCCTGGGAAGGATGATGTATCGGCTGGGTCGGGGACAATTTGGGGTCAAGGGCGGTGAGCTGTATGAAGGGTTGTGGGGCGTCGTTGAGAAGGAGAGGGTGGTGGAGATGATGATGGCCGAGGCGAACAGGAGTGCGGGTCACGCCAGCGCGAAGGCTTATGCCGTCGAAACGCTGTGGCTCTGGCGGAAAGGTTGTGGTGGGGAGAGGGGTTTGTTGAAGGAGGCTGGAACAAGAGCGAAATGAGATATGTGTATCGTTGTGTCAAATAAGAAGTACTGGGTGATTCATAATAGAAGAAAGGTCTTGTAGAATCACCATATCTCACTCAACCCATTGTTGGCCAGCTTGACGCACCAATCGGCAAAGAATGTGCCATGTCTACGTATATCATCGATCGCGACCCATGGTCAGGCGACAGAACGCTTCTTAATATGAAAATGGAAAAAAGTGTCTCGCTCGTGATGACGCCGAACATCAAGACCGAATCACGCAGCAGCACCCTCTTCATCCTGACCGTCATCGCCAACAGCAGCGCGCATCTTCCAAACCCTCCACCTCAACCTCTCAATGACCTCTCTCCTCAACCAACTGCCCCCTCCCGCTCCCACTCCCACTTCCCTCCCCGCCTCCTCCTCCCCAGCTCTACCTTCGCTCTCCCTCCGCTCGACCTCCTCCCGCTCCAGCCCATCCACCCACGCAAACAGCAACCGCAACTGCCACAGCTGGTCCCTGTCCAGTGCGCCTCCGCCCTTCGCATCCGGCAAGACAGCATGCTCGAGCTCCAGCCTCGTATCCACCACCGTGCCCCTGAGATAGCGATTCCCGGTCCCGGCGGCCAAACCAGCAGCATGCGCATGTGCGTGAGGCAGCACGAGCGCGCGCTCACTGACATCCAGCTCCTTCAACGCGTCCAGCTGCCAGAGCCACTCGAACGGATTGACCTTGCCACGCTCACCACCACCACCACCACCACCACTACCGCCTCCGGTCCCGACCGTCGATGCAGAAGCAGAGCCGAGACTCACACTGGGTACGTCACCGCGCTCGGCCAGGGCCTGCATCTCACTGACAAAGACACTGCCGCGGGGCGCGTCGTACGCGGCTCTGCGTCGGAGATAGACGTTCAGGTGGCCCTTCTTGAACTCGTTTCGCTTCTCCTGTCCTTCTTTACCTTCGAAGAAGATGCGGACATCCCAGTAGCCCTTGGCTTCTGTGCGGATTTCCTTGATGGTGTCGAGTTCCGGCACGAGGCAGGGGGCTGTGAGTCTTCTTTCGTCTTCATCCCCGCCGCCTGGACCGCTTTTCAGGGTGACGGTGATGGGGACCGAGACTGGCCGGCCCGTCTCGACGTCCCTACAGACGACGCATCTCGGTTCCGCGGCCAGGACCCACAGATGGCGGAAGGCCTGGAGGTGAGCTTGGTTGTCCATGACGTTGGTGGGGAAGAGCGGGTAGAAGGCGCAGAGCAGACTCGCAACCGCGATGTCGCTCGTCCCGAGCGTGTAGGTCCCGCCACCGAGAAAGAGTACACCGATCGCCATATGTGCGGCAAGGTGGCTGCCGTATGGCGTGTCTGCATCACAGCGGCCGTGGAGGGAGCGCAGACGGCGAAATACAGGGATATCGCCAGTGCCTGCCATTACAGCCGCCAGGGCGAGCGCTGTCACATCCTGGCAATTCCTGACCGCGTTGCGTGTGAGCTTGGAATCATAATTCAGAGCTGGAAGGCGGGTCAGGCGGATGAAATGGTCAAGATAGGAGGTCAACAGGTCGCGCGCAGTATGGGAGCCAGAACCTGCGAAGCGGAGGCCCAGAGCTAGACAGAGTCCCGCGAGGATATTGAAGAAGGGCATATCTTCCGAGTTGAGGTGGCGGGTAGAGGAGAGGGAGGCGCGGTGACGGTAGGGTTTCGGCACAGATGATTGTATGAAGTTATACGTAGGTTGGATGGAGGACCACATGATCAGGTGCCTGGCGACGGTGCGGAGGAGGAAGATGTCTGGTCGGACGTAGTCGAATTGGTGGAGCGTGTCTGGGATGTCGATCTTGCGGGCGATGGTTTCGTCGTCAGTTTTCATGTAGATCAGAGCGAAGGCGATGGTGGCGCCGGAGGTAGCGCGGTCGAGGATGTGGACTAGATTGACGTTCTTGGTGCCGATGGCGATGGTGAGGAGGCGCTCCATCACGTTCATGTCGTGAAGACCGTGGAGCCGCTTTCCTTGCCCAAGGTTGATGAAGCCGAGTGCAAAGCCAGCAGCGAGTCGGTAGCCTTCATCGCGGAGGGTTTGTTCTGGTGGGACACCCTCTTCCACGTCGTTGTTCTCGATCTCTGAAAGCATGACTTCGGACATGCGGCGATGCTGCGAGGAGCAATAGAGAAGACCGATACCCATGATCCCTGTCGTCTGCGTGAGAGGCGAGAGATTCAACTCAGCGGCTCCAGGAGGCAACATGCGCGTGACATGCACTGAAAGCAAGCGAGTGATCAAAGTGTCCATACTTCCTATGTATGAAGCAGAAAGCCCAAGAAGCAGGCCGACCGAGGTCATAGTGTGCTTCGGGGTCAAGTATTTGAAAGCAACCCACTTTGCCAGCGACTTGAGGTGGCCATTCAGACCGAGAGCGAGCAGGAATCCGGCGTGTCTGTTGGTAAGCTCAGGAGGCTTGTTGTATAGTATCCAGGAAGTATTAATGCCTCTTGCATCTTTCGAGATAGTCAAACCAGCAGCAGTACCATTATGGAAGAAGGCCCACACCGCTCGGTCTTCGGTGAAGGAGGCTCTTTCGGCACTAAAAGTGACATTCGAAGGCTTCACCAGGCATGCCAGGGTGAAGGCGGGGATGGGCACTTTTTCCGTGAGCAGAGGTACGCGAGAACTATAATTGATCATGCCCCTTCCAGACGCTACGGTCAGCGTTCTCATAGTGACCAGTTGAACCAATTCCTTTTGAGCATCAAGAAGATCTGCCTCTGTCCAATCAGGCTCGGCTTTACAATCCGCAACAGGTGGCCGTAGCTGATTGACAAGTCTGGATGCATCTTGAAATCGACGGTCTTCTCGAAAGATGAGCCTAGTCACGCCTTGTCTGTCGGCTTCTGACGAAGCATCCCATGAATGGAAGGGCTCTGTATCCAAAACGAGATTGCCGACTGCATGATAATCTCTCGTTGCTTCGTGGCTAATTAGGCCATGAGTTTTGCTTGTTACAGCTCGTGAGCTTGACTGAAGCGGCCGACTCTTTAAGTCGTCCCGTCCAACCAATTGTAGGAGTGGCTCGGACCACGACAGTGGAGGAGAACCTTCACAGCTGGAAATAGCATCATAGAAGATGGCTGATATTCCAGTAGGCATCGTCGCCAATGTTTCAACGTCCAGTCCGCATTTGTGCATCCATTCCACTCTTGCTGAGCGGCTCTTCTGCGAGGCAGCCTTGGAGAAGTATTGGAGAAGAGCGAACGTCCTTGGTGTAAGATTCTTTGCTCTTAAGGTGCACACTTCCTTCAACGTCGAATTAGGAGCCTCGATGACATCAAGCAATGTCAGAAAAGACCGATTCCCAGGGCTAGAAGCAGATGCCTCAACAAAATCAAATATCGAGGGTGGATCGAAGGGCTGTGAGGCTACATCAAAAGAATTGACCACGTTTTCATCAAATAGCTGCTGCTCAACATCGGGTATTTCAGCGTGATAATAACATCCTTTGCTGTAATCCCAAGAGTGCCAACTGAGCCAATGACCGAGTTGGGCAAGGACAGGCGCAAGCTGGATGCTGTCTGATTTTGAATGCGACAATCGTGTGTCAAGCTTCTGCTCCTCACGCGTGAGATGCAGAGCTATCAGCACACTTCCAACAGCTGTTCTTCGAGTCTCCCGATCCTTATTCGACGCGGTTGGTAGGAAGCCATCAGGTCCAAGCATTTGTTCGCCAATAGGACTTTGCATGAATTCGCGACTCAGTGAAACGTACTGAAGGAGAAACCTGTTTTTTCGGTTCTCAAACAGTGCTTGTGCCGTGATACTACTGCTGGGCTTCAAAACATTTTGCTCCTGAGCAGAATCTCCTGAGGACTCAGATTCTTGGCCAATCCATTGCCAGCCGGGGGACGTAGTCCAAGAAGGGGAGGTAATACCGATGCCACATTCCTCATCCACCATCTTGTCCCAACTGGTCATGTCGATAACAGCACCACTACTCGACCGAAACAGACCACCCTTTTTCTGTCTTCTGCTGACGCTACCATTCCCTCGTCTATCGACGATAAAGGGGGTGATCATGCTAAAAAGTGTGACTACCATCGCTGTCCACTCCAAGTTCCCATTGTATTCCTTCAATCGCAACCACTTCATGACCTCGATCCATGCTATGCAGACACCACTCCCTCCCTTGTTCAGTAACGCAAGCTCTATCGTTTGGAGGACCTTTACGACTTGCGGATGCTGTGGCTCGAGTTGAATTTCTAAACGATGCCGATGAACTCTGGAATCGAGTACATCCACCTGACCAAGTATAGAAGTATGTCCCAAGCCAGTGGGATTTCGTAACGGTTCTTTTAGTACTCGCGCCCGTCCTCCCTGTCGCCTCTGCTCTGATGTAGTTGCAGGTGAGATAGCCAAAGGATTGTGAACCATCAATAGACCTGGCAGATCAACTCTAATAGAGGAAATGCCAACAGCTTCGAGGAGTAATGCTATCTGACCGTCCCGATTCTGCGTCAGAACCAGTATACAGCATTGATCTCGGTCACGAACTTTGCAGGCATCAATGATGTTCGTGCCACGCTGCACATTGACTGATGACAAGTCAAATTTCTTCATTGATGTACTCGTTCGCGAAATGGCTTGTTTTCGTTTGACATTATTTGACCGAGCGAGCACGCATGCTATTTTGATGACCGACAACTCGCCTTTCTTGATGTCCATTATACAAATGGACAGAGTCGCTTTGGTAGCGCTACCACTTCCTGCTGACGGCTTGGACGTCAGAACAAAGACGTTGAAGCGTGACTTTGATGACTGCGTGACAGGGGTCTGTACTGAGCAAGGAATGCTATGCACTTTAGAGAAGACAACTTCAGCTGGAAGCTCACTCATAGCACCCTCCAATACCATGCTATCAAAGCAATCGAATTCGGCTCCAGAGCTGAATCCCTCCAACAATCTGTCAGGTGGAACGCTAGTTAAGGGAGTCTCGCTACTCATTGAAAAGCCGATGCCAGGAATAGGACCGCCAGCTCGAGCTCCAAAACTTTGACGATCGCTGAAATCTCCAAAAGAGTCACCACGAGCACCACCCCTGTTCAAGCTCTTTCGCCCAGGATTGCTGGAAGTAAAACCATTGATAGGTGCTCTATCTGGCCCCATTGACAGGTCTGTACGAGCCAGCATCGAGCTAACCCGCCGAGCCGCTCTAGTCTGCACACCTACTTCTGCAAAATCAGGGCCAAGCTCTGTTGCCAGATTGTCGACTTCGCTGAAAGTCTGTTCATCAGGGCGATGCGACCCATAAGTTTCTGCGAATGATCGGCCGAGCTCAGGTCCAAGACTTTCTCTAGACTCTCCCAGGCCACGGCCAATTGGTGTAGCTGATCCATTGACTCTAAACCTGTTCGAACTCCGTCTACGGAGCCCATGATCTTCGTAGCTAACCTTCCTTCTCTTCGTTGGTGGACCGTGGCTATTCCGCTTTCTGTATTGGACGTCCCACACTGTAAGGATGCCTGACTTAGCGTTGAGAGTGACTCCCAGCGAAAGAGGCTCTAGATTGGATACATCTAAAGACGCTAGTTCATTGTTGCGCGAAATGTACAACAGTTCTTCAGCAGGGTCAAAGAGTCGCTCGTGATCTTGAGCAGAAACCTTCACTCCTTCTTGCAGCTCTGTACGACGGACAGCAGTACCCAATTCTGCCTGCGGATCTGTGAGCGACAATATTGAAGGAAGGTGATCATTTTGCGCGGTGGGTGGTGCAAATTGTCGAGCAACAGGGGACAATGTAAGAGATGGTCTAGAAATTGATGCAGTCTTCAGAGTGATGTGCTGTGGTTCCGTCAGACTACTGCTGATTTGTGAGGACACGAATGAGTTCGGGGGGGCTGATAAAGCGGCTGGATTAACGGCTGTTGTCAAGGACTTCCGTTTTATCAGACATCCCTGAGAGGTAGGAAACGCCGCTTCCGCCTCGAAAGGAATAGGAACAATATGCGTGTCACCCGTAAGAAAATAGATGTGGGCTTTGGTCTTCAATAATATCACGAGTGCCTGACCTGCCGCTCGTTCATAAGATCCGGGAGACCTTGACTGCTTTTCGCCCGTCCGAAAGGCCTGGTGTTGTTCTGCCCTGTGAGGGCCTGCTGCCCCATTTTGCTGAGGATGCAGCCTGTCCCATGCTGAGAAATGAGTAACAAAGCTTTGAAGGATCTCTTCTTCCTCGACGTCCAGATTAAAGGCTCGCTTTACAATGCCACCACGAGCCCAGACTACACAATTCCTGGTTTGTAGGATCTCGTCCTCGCTGACTTCTTTCCCAGCAGCATCGTAGGCTGGATAAGTCTGCCAGGTATAGAGAGACTCTGAAGGTTGATTAGGCAATATTCCTTCATCAATCAGATATGGCAGTGCACAAGGTTCATGAAGGCCTAAGGATTGTACTTTGGCCATAGCACCTGGGTGCGTACACCTGGTACCAATGTTTAGTCGATGGGCGCATTGCAGCACTGTGCCGATTGAAGAGTTGGTGAAAACATTCGAGTGTTACCGCAAAATTACATACAGAATAGGTGTGTATGTATATGCTTGTGTTGACGGCTGGCGTCGGCAACGCGCAAAACGCGACCTACTTACTTTGCCGTTCTCCACAACCTCTGGTCCTCCCACCCTCTACAGGAACCGTGAGTATTGTTGCTCTCGGCCGAACTCTTTCACAATGACACTACAAGTCCCATCTTGAGAATAGCCTCATGAGCCTGGAACCTCTGTTAAACCATGGAGCCTTCAGTGCTTCACCTTCATGACAAACTGAGAATCAGGTAAGGAGGATCAACAGATTGCAATGCGGTACGTATGCCTCTTTCTGACCGTCACTAGCTATACTGTCCCTCACCGCATCTTCTCGGCAAAGGTATATCCACTGCAAGCACCGAATGGGTCTACTATAATCGTGTATGGCCACGAACAAGGCATACGAATAGTGTGGAGGGGAGGCAAGAGTTTTCGACCAGCGCAAGTACCCAAAGAGAAGCCTAAGGTCAATGGATCTAGCAAAGAGGATGCTATGCTACTCGACTCGGACGACGATGAATCCGCAGCAGTTGGTGTGGCGTCCACCACTGACTTTGATGGAGATGAAGAGGAGCGCGATTCGTCTGAACCTTATCACAAAATTGTTCGGCATCTCGATATTCCCTGTGGAACAGGTGTTCGTCTTATAGCAATACCTCACATACCAGCGCACATACAGGACTCAGCTCCTGGCGCATTTCCTCCAATCTTGCTATCGAACATTGTAGTGGCAGCAGCCTGCAACGACAACTCCATCAGAATTGTCACTCTACCACTTCTGCCTCCTCCACCTTCCGTTGATGGAACGTCTTACAAAGCCTTACAGATCGTAACCATAGCTGGAATTAACACACATCATGAGGTACCATCCAGCATTGCCATCACGCACAGCGCCGTATCGGACTCGTCAGATATCCTGCGCGATTCAAGCAGATCTCGTTCCAGGAGTCGAAATCCTCCGGTTGAAGAGGAGAACGCAACTACAGCGCAGTCTGGCAGATTATGGTGTTTCCTTATTGTCTCCATATCGCCGACGACCGGAGGACTTTTGCTGACACATCAAATACCAATCACCGCAGACACGCAGCTCTCGACGTCACCGGATGACCTCTACCCACTGCAACGGTGCTATCTCAGGTTTCCTTGCTTAAGCTCCAATTTAGTTTTCCATCCGTCTGCATTCCCCGCGGATCGGCATTCTACGGTACTGTTGTCTGCCACCGATGCTGGTTGTGTGAAACTCTACCAAGTCCTTCCAGGCAGCCATGCAACCCTTTCTCGGGGTCGAAGGAATTCTGCAGCAACGACAGATTCCGCTAACTCAAGTCTACTCACCTCTCCAAGAAGTATGACGTCCAATGGGCAATTCCTTCTCACACTCTACCCTGGTTTCGTCACTTCGTCAAGTTCATCTAGCTTGCAGCGGCGGAAGCACGTTCATAGTGCGACCTGGGCAGCTTCTGGTCGAGCCATTATCGCGTTGCTCGAAGATGGCGAATGGGGCGTTTGGGACCTGGAGGGCGCCGGACCTGGATCTGGATCCGCAAACCTACTTCGAGGACAAAGCAATATGTCTGGTATCCAGGGCGGTGCGCTAACCAGATTTGCGTTCAGCAGCCGCGTCACGCCGACAGCAGAGACACTGCCGAAGACTCGGAAACCCGAGAGCAGGGATACCAAAGACGGAGCTCTAGCCCCAATGACACCTCACACTCGTAGAATTAAGAGTGAAGGGCTATTCAAGGGCGGGCCACCGTCGTTGGAGATCGAGCGAGATTATGCCCAGTCAGCCAGCGGCCATATCTGTATCACCGAGCACGTTCCTTCAACAACCTCAGCCCTTTCGAGTCCTAGGGAGTCGCTTGTTATTACTTATGGTTCCGAAATTGTCTTCGTCTCTTCCTTGCAAACCATGTGGCGTGCTGAGACTAGCACTAAAGGCACATTTGATTCTGTTGAAGCAATCAGGCCATCACACTTTCCAAGCCTGGCTCTCGGTCAGGAGAGACTCGTCGGCATTGCTGAACTGCTTCACTCTCCACCAAGGGAGTCTAGACTTCCTTTTGCTGTCAAAAGCAATCAGTTACCAGACATCCTAATTGTTGCTGACCATCGGCTAATATTCTTTGTCACCGCTTTAACGGAGCCAACGTCTACTAGAGATACCGAGGATCGTTTCCCGCTGCGCCTTAGTAAACCTCAAGAATCACAGACAGCTAGTTTTGGTGATCAAGCACTCCTCCGGAAAGGCCAGCTCGACCTCGAAGGCATGGATCGAGTACTAACTGGGATGGGCCATGGGGATGGGACTTTGAATGGACGAAGGAGCTCCTTTGGGAAAAGTGTTGCTTTTGACTTAGATGATGAGGGCGACCTAAGCATGACCTCACCAACGCCGAAGGCTGGCGGCAGATACACGCCAACTCCACGGAGGCCAATTGGTCGAAATAGCTGACCAATCTCTTGTTGAGTTCGAGTTTTGAATAAGTACGTACATGAGCGACGAAATGATACCCAAGCGATTCTGTTTCCACAAAAGGCCGGACTGATCCTGCTGATTTCACCTATACTTTGCTGCTTTGTTGCTTTTCATTTTATCTTACACCTAGCCTGGATCCCATTTGTTCCCCAGTCGCGATGCCAGGTGGAGCACAAGGTGAGATCAATACCTTGAATTCAATGCTCAGTATTCCTCGCGGCAAATCAACCATCCTCTGCTCCCTGACCTTCGGGCTGTCTTTGACCTGGTGCTTGATTCCCAGCTGGGCTTCCAGTATTGGTCGAGACGTGGAGTGAGGGTACGTACCATACCTAATGATTGTCCTCTGGACAACCACATCTTTGACCATTTGTCTGCGGCGTTGGTGTCTCATCCAATGGAAATTACATAACCGTCGCGGCAGGTTGGTACAACACCATGTGATCGGCCGCGATAAATTTGGGAGAGGGACGTTTAGACCATAATGTGAGATCTTAGACAGTTGTGCCGTTATACAAGTCTTTCTACTGAGTACAGTGGCAGAGGAACGTTTACGACCCAACCTAGATTTGGAACGGTTGCCTGGACGCATACTCACACAATTCAACCAACTCGAACCAATATGATCTATGGGCACACCCGTGCAACAAATATCAAGTGACGTAGAAGAGCTATCTTGAATACCAGAATCAACAAGCCGAGATCGACTGCTTCAAGAGGTAACATACGGAGGTGTACTTTATCAATCATCTGTACGAGAAATGCCCAGGAACTTGCCTGAAGCTAGTAATAGTACGTAGTACATAGTACTAGTAATTTCCCAATGCCCGTCACCAGACAGCTTTGTCGTCATCGTAGCTAATGCTAAATTAACGAACTAGATATTAGAATGCATCCCCGGTAAGAACGGCCATATAAATCTGACAGGGTCCCATTTGGAGCGGGCAAAAAAGAGACTACACCGGGCGGCCAGCTCCACAGTGGAGACTTTGTTCAGTGTCATACCCCACTTAATGATCAGGGTTCACGACCTCTCCACACTACCTTTTCCATCTCTGGATGCTTTCCATGTTCTATGAACGAGATAAACATCACGCTTTCCAGAAGCTGTCTATTCGTCCCGCCCACATATCCTAGCTCCTTGGAGTGGCAGCATCCAACTTCAAGCCAGAAACCATGACTTCCACAATTGACGATGACGAGCTTTCCATTTCTCTTCCTGCACACGACACCTCTAGGTCAATACCTCCATTGACTCCTGTTACCTCACCTCCTATTCGCACCCCTCAGACGCCCATCGCAGCTTCTCCAGGTACCATAACATCAATGAATCGTCTTTCCCAATATAAGCAGGTGTGCCTGCTAGGGGAAGGCTCATTTGGCAAGGTCAAACTGGCACGGCACAAAGTAACCGGCCAGGAGGTAGCGATGAAGATAATCAGTCGGCGGAAATTGATCAGCAGAGACATGGCCGGCAGGGTTGAAAGAGAGATACAGTATCTGCAGCTATTGAGACATCCACATATCATCAAGCTTTACACTGTTATAATGAGCAAGCAAGATATTATCATGGTACTCGAATACGCGCCGATGGAACTGTTTGACTACATCGTCAAACATGGTCGACTGGACGAGAAGAAATCAAGGAAATTGTTCCAGCAGATCATATGCGCCGTCGAGTACTGCCACAGGCACAAGATTGTACATCGGGATCTAAAGCCAGAGAATTTACTGCTGGATAAGAATTACGACGTCAAAATCGCGGACTTCGGGCTGAGCAACATTATGACGGACGGCAATTTCCTGAAAACGAGCTGCGGGAGTCCCAATTACGCTGCACCGGAGGTGATATCCGGTAAGTTGTATGCTGGCCCAGAGGTCGATGTTTGGAGTTGCGGTGTGATTCTTTACGTCTTTCTTGTTGGGCGACTTCCGTTCGACGATGAGTTCATACCATCTCTTTTCAAGAAGATCCAAGCGGGCAATTTCCACATACCCCACCACTTACCGCCAGGAGCTACCAATATTATCAAGCGATGTTTACAGGTTCATCCTGTCCATCGCATGACGATCGAGGACATTCGACAAGATGAATGGTTCTTGAAGGATCTTCCCGCGTACTTGCGCCCACCTGTTGAAGAGTTCGTACACACGGGAATCGACCCTACCAAGGCCATCGATCCGCGACAGTTAGTACCTGGAAAGTCAGCCGAGGTCGTGGAACGCATCCATGAAAAGGTAGTTGGCAAATTAGGAAAGACTATGGGTTATGCTAGGGAGGATGTCAAAGATGCCCTGAGCAAGGATGAGCCAAGCGCTATCAAAGATGCCTATCTAATAGTAAGAGAAAACCAGCTGATGGCGGAGAACCAAAACCGTAAGTAGTTCAACCACATATGGTGATCTTGAGTACTGATTTGAAGTAGCTCAACATAGAAGAGACAATCCTGTACTCGAAGAGTTTTGGAAATCCTCGCCACCAGTCACGTCAGATTATCCGGGGTTTGGCTCGATAGGCAGAAGCCTCAGCAAGAACAACGATGATGTGGCACCATTGACATCTACCCAGCGCGATGGTGTTCATCGTAATAGCAGAGCGCTATCTGACGCCCCATCACTAACGAAAGAAGCCGAAGAGAGAGTCTCGAATGTGCGCGTGCTTAACACTTCCTTGCCATTTATTCATGATGATATTCTGGAACAACGTCGGAAAGCGCGCGAGGCTGGTGAAGATCCAGATCTTGCAGTGATTGCATCTCAAAAAAGTGATTCGAGCTCCCCAACAGACGCATCATCTCCCTCAATTCCTGAACAAAAGATTGATCCTAGCACCAACAAGCTAGTTGTACGGTCTAAAGAGGAACAAGAGGCCACTTCGAGAGCCCTCAAACCTCATGCAAGGTTGCCCAATGCGGCGAACGATTCACGCAGCCACCGAGACAAGCCAGAGGGCATGACTCCAGTACCGGAGAAGGAGAAGGCCCTGACGAGCTCCAAGCCTAAAGCTCGCAAGTGGCAATTTGGCATTCGATCTCGAAATGCGCCATTTGAAGCGATGAAATGTCTTTACAACGCGCTGGAAGCTCAAAAGGCTGTATGGGAGGTGATCCCTGCCTTGGCCAGCGAAACCGATGCAAGTGGCGAGGATGGGAGGGAGAATAGGCCGCCTTCGCCTCCTCAACTTGTGGAAGGCGAGCAACACACTACCCTGCAGAGTCGTTACCCAAGCCTGCCGAGCGATTACTACATTCCGCGTGATCCATGGTTTATCAGAGCTAGAATGCTTAAACGTGGGATGTTCGCTCCGGGAGAAGGGCCTACCTTCAGCGCCACAAACAGTAATGTCAACCTAGCAGCGGAGCAGAACATCCGGAAGAAGGTGGAGGACGTGGGTGGCTATCTCTCCGGTGATTTTCAGACTAGTGTCATGTCAAACGGAGCCGACGGATCTGCTTCCAGACCAAATTCACAACCATCCTCCGCTCAGAACACCCGACCAAGTTCTGGTGTGGGCGAGACCTCGATGACAGGTCATGATACTCTTACCAGTCTAGGTCAGATCATCTCTCGGTCGGGCAGTATGACAAGCACTCCTGCTCGGGAACCAAGCCCATATATTGGTGTTTGGGTCTTTATCGATATTCAGCTCTACATGCTCGAAACCAACAATTTTATGGTTGACTTCAAGTGTGACGGATATCAGAACGTTCGCTTCGATCCGAATTATCATGGTCGGACACCACGAACGGGCAACAGCAGCCGAATGACCAGCCCAGCGCAGAGCAGGCCCAACAGCGGTTTCTCGACCGTCAAGCCGGGAGAGAAGTTCCAGATGCACGAAACCGATGGTGACAATGGAGAACTAAAAGGGGACTGGAGGCCCGTCAGCAAGAGGATCAGGAACAAGGAGAAGGAGATTACCAGCCCTTATCCGTACCTTGATGTGGCAAGTGATTTGATTGCACAGCTGGCTGTGGCAAATTGAGAAGGACTAGTATGGCCGGCTTTACTGCGAGGAGGTGTTTGGTAGCGCCCAAAAAGTGCTTAGGCATTGGGGCGAAGCTATGAACCGACACATTTCAAATAACCCAGGACAAGGAGTCAGATAGTTGTATTTTAGACAGGCATGGGAGGTTATCAAGCCGCTACCCTGTGCTCGGCATGCCTGACCTACGATCTCAAAAACTCTCCACCTGGGCAGTCAGCTGCCTGTCTGGTAAGCAAGGCACGCTACTTCGTTCAAAGCGTGCCCTGAAGCCGAATAGTACGCTGGAGATATCCAAGCTCGGCCTCTGGCAATCTGTCAGCCTTGAGAAGCTTCAACCACTTTTTACGTTGAGTAGGAGTTGGATCAAGTGTCTACTGGCCGGGGTCGTTACGATCAGTTTTTTAGATTGATTCGCTTGGCGTTGCGGTTGACGTTGCTTCCCATGTCTGCACGCCTGCTGTATCTCTTCATCATGAATAGGGCAAATTTCAAAGCCGCCTTGATACGGCTATTTTGGGGGTGTTAGTATCCATTTTTGAAGTATAGTAAAAACGTCGGAAATCGTGTGTTGAGGGGGGGGCGTGCGTTGAGGCGTGATCTACTCTGTACATATACCTAGACTACTGCTTTTTCGACTTGAAAACATTGAAGGGTTTCGTGAGGTTTGATTATTAGTAGCGTACGGGATTGACGGTGTCTCTGGCGTTCCCAAGGCAGGTGAAAAAAAAAACCCGTCCGCCAATGCTGGAAAGACTTCACAGCCAGTTGGCGGATGCACAACACCACACCACCATTCCTCCGGCCAGATCCCTTTTCGTCACAAATGCTGATCCTTGGTGGCTTCTACCTCCTGCTTCGCTCTGTGCGTCAAGGCTAACCATCGTGCAACTCATCGAGGATCCCCTGCGAAAAGAGCTTGGGTTGGCACACAGAAAGAGGATCAGGAGTTACAGGACCACCAACCACTTTCATCCATCTAGGAACGTAGTCCTTTTGGCATCAACGTCCACCTTGGACATTCGAATACTATATCTTGATGTAATCACCTTCGAACAAAAGCAGCGTTGATCTTCGCCCGTAAGAGTGTTATCACATGCTCCTCAGTATTTCGAGGAGCGACAATGCTCGTATCAACGGCTTCGAAGAAACTCGCACCAGCAAAGCTTGTGCATCTGGGAATACATTTTGCATCCTCAAGAATGAATATAATACTCGCGGCGGAGCCGCCTTGAGATGTCTCCACCCTTCTATCTACACCTCAGAAAACCCCCTCGATTCTTCAAACGTTGCCTAGGTTGATTTCTTTTCACAGAGCCTAGTATTACGAGTCTTCCAAACATGGTCAACCTTCCAACCGACGCTGTCGTCGGCATCATTTTCGGCATCATCAATGTCCCGCTCACATTGGGGATGGGTTGGCCAACCCGCAAGGATCCAGGAGAGACATAACGTAGAACAAACCCGTGATGTACATTTAAGAACTGTCGCTGACTCGACTTGCAGACGATGAGCCACGCGGTATATTGCCGTACGGACAATATTTACCTATCGGTATAACATATTGAATGCTGCATTCTTCGTCGCCGATATAGATGGAATGGAGACTAGTAGTACTAGTAGTATAGAAGAACGGTGCACCATCAGACTTCTCGCTGTCTCAACTGCTTGGTCTGGACCAGAAGCCCGTGCTACAAGCACATAGATGGACTGAAGTCCCTTGGAGTATAGCAACGCTGAAAGGGTACAAGAGTTTCTGCACATGGGAACGTCAGTTCCCGAGGGGCCTTTCAGGGTGTTCGAAGGTTTCTATGGATACTATTGCATGAGGTAAGAATGTGTCTTACCTGCTAAGTCTCTCTAATGGGCAAAAGGACTTGTTCCATACTTACTAGGCCAAATTCACTTCTCGCTCTCTTCGCTAAATCTTTCTCGCTCTTACCTCACACCCTATATCGTCTCTCCCTCCACAACTCATCCTCCAGATTATCCCTCCCTTCCTGCTTCACCATAATCCCATCCTTATACCTCAACTCAAACTCCGTCCACAAATCGAAAATGGTCCTACCTTCCCTACCCTCCTCCGTCGCCTTCACCTTGACGGTAAAATTAGCATTCGGAACATAGCCCCCAACTACAAGATTGTGGAGCTGATATGCGCCTTTCCTTTCTTGGGCGGGCAGTTGAGTTTGTCTTCGCGCTTCTGCCTATGTAAGATAGGATGGAAAGGGTCAGGAAGAAGGTTGGGATGGGGTTGATGGGCGCAGTCTTGTGCAAAGCCTTGTGCGTGAGTTTGTGTGCAGGCGTCATCGGCGTTGCCGTCCTGGATAATGTGGACCCAGTTGCAGAAAGCATCTTCGCCGGGGATCAGGCCTGTGCGGCCGCTGGGGAGATGTAAGGTCACGTTGAAAGAGACATGCGGAGTTGTGTTTGTTAGGGAGGTTGTGAAGTCGCCCTGGATGATGACTGCAGTAAGATTCTCTGTGGTCAGGGTATTCGTCATATCAAACATAGCAAATCGAGGCACTGATTTGCTTTGATTGGTATTTAATCAAAATCCGTGATTACAGTAACTTTGTTTGACTGATTTGTCAGATCGAGTCAAATCTCAGTAAACAAATATACTTCTAGCGATTTACTTGAATTCTCGTCCAGATCGAGTGTCCGCCAAGACCAATATTATTCTGTCAAAAATATCCTTCATTTCCAAAACATGAGACCTTTCCGTCAAGACTTCACTGAAGTTTGACTAATTTGTCAAATCCACGGAGGCCGATTTGCTTTGACGTAAGCACCGATTTGATTTGATTTGTTTGACTAATTTGATTTGATGGACACACTGTCTGTTGTGGTGGCTTTGCGTTAGGGGGTTCTTTGTCTTTGGGCTAGAAGGGAGATGGGTGGGAAGGAGAATGTGGTTCTCTTTCCTGCCTTCACTGCTTCACCGTAATGGTTTTTCTTCCCATCTTCTGTGCTCTTTCCTTCGTTCTTTCGATGATGGAAATGCGCAAGAAAGGGCGATGGTTTTAAGATTGTGTGGATGACTCAGAAGGAGATTCGGAGTAGAAGACATACATGACGCATAGATGAGGGTGCATCTCGAGGCCTTTGATTCTGAAAAGGTCGTTGCTGGAACCATTGTATTATTTGACGGGTGAAGCACCCCGCACAGCACTCCCATTATGAGGTGTCTCGTCAATTTTGGTGATGCTCTGACTTTAAGCTGGGAGAGGACGTAGAGCTTGTGTCACAGGGTGCGTCAACAAAATTGCTGAGGTCAAATTAGCAGAAGACGTTTGATCGAGACGACATCATATTGAAATGTGGAGGACGACTGTGGGTGGCACAAGATTGGTAGAGTAGAATATGTGGTAGGCCCAATTATGGGGATATAGCACATTGGAGCTAATGCGGTTGTGGCGAAGCGATATATGAAAACCACGAGTTATTTGTAATGGCCAGCCATATTATACAACCAAGAAGAAACCATTTCCAGATCGGATAAAGTACTTTTGGAAGTCTCAGAGCGGTCATGGTGATTCTGTGACCATCTTTCGCAGTATCTGACATTAAGGATCCTTCTTTTGGCGCCCAAACGCTCTCTCGTTGTAAATTGAATGATTATCCTGGGCAGCTATTGGATCAGAGACCCTAGTGTTGGAGTCCGGTATCTTGTTGTACAGTTGTAACACTGCTAAGTATCATGACGTTGGATTTTACGTTCCTTTTAGGACCGTGAGTGCCATTTCGGTCCTCCAATGGATCTCCAGAAGCATGATTTGGTTCACAATCCTCAATGACTTCTTGGCTGATTTTGATCTTCTTTCTTCTCTTTTCTAGCACTTACGGCCGGTAAGCCAGGGACAGGAAAATCAGTATGAGTCATGGTGGTGGCATCCGGGGGCGCGCCTGTAGACTTAGATCGCGCCGTCCCTTCATTGTGCCTAGGCTGTTTAGCGCCAACGACGTGCTGTGTTGACACAAAGCCGTTAGTTATCTCAGCTTACAGCGCGCACTAGTCAAACTCTGGAAGGGGAGCAGAACCAATTAGGGCAGACGGTTGAGGGTCTAGGGCACCCTATTTATAGTAGGGTTAGGCTCGGAGGGTGTCACTTTGGCACAGGCTCTTACTACGTAGTGCGGAAATGACAACAATTGGGTGTCTAGGTTTCAGGCATTAGTTGGAAGCGGAGAACCGGGTCTCACCAGCCCTTACTAATGTCAATTAATGTGGGTTATCCTCAGACGCAACTTTGGATGCAGAGATACTACAACTTCTATTCTCCTACTAGCACCATTAAATATATAACAAATATCAATTGAACGAGTAGAAAACGTCTTTCCGATCCTTTCGGTATTACTTTCACGGAATTTGAAGCCTTTTTTGTGATGATGCAGGCAGTTTCAAGGCCATCGATTCTGGATGGTTGCGTTTGAGGATGACCTACGTTATGAAGTCAGTATGAGTATGTAGCGGTTTTGCATGGGCCCAGTGGGTCGTAGGGGCCACAGATGGGAAACAAAGGATCTAAGTTTTCTATCATGCTGCACCATCTGCAATGGCACGCCTTCAACTCCTCAGCACTGACCTTTTTTTTTAAATAAATTTGGGAGATTGTGGCAAACGTAATGGGTGAGGTTCTCGCTGCCAGCGCTACCATTGCTGGACTTCTGAACTTGACGATCACGACGCTTCAATTGAGCCATGGGTATTTCCCAGGTGTGAAGAACTTCACGAAGACGATAGAGCAGTATTTCAGTGAGCTTGAGCGGCTAAAAGACGTTCTGGAGGATTACAAGGCGCTCGCAGAAAGCGGTGATACGGCAGACTTCGTCTCATTTTTTATTCCATCACAATCTGAAGCATGCTGGAAAGAACTAGAACATGTCCGCACCAAATTAGAAAAGCAGTGCCATGGCAGCCTCTTTTCAAAAGCATTGAGCCGATTAAGGTGGCCCTTCTCCGAAGAAGAGGTGTCGCGTACCGTAGAAGCGCTACATCGCCACCAAAGCTCTCTTCACAGGAGGTTGTCTGCAAGAAATCTCAAGGTCTCCAGTCGCATCCTCTCAGAGGTCAGGCATCTTCGGGAAAAGCAACAGAAATCATCAACCAAGGTCTCTTACGATTGGCTCTCAGACGCCAACCCCGAAACGAATCACCTATCCGCCAGGAGTAAGCATTCACAGGGAACGAGCCAATGGTTCTTAGACTCCTCGGCGTTCAAGTCCTGGTGGAACTGCTCGTGTAGGTCACTGTGGGTGAATGCAATACCAGGGGCTGGAAAAACTGTACTGTGTTCGACCATCGTTGATTATATCCTTCATCAACGGCTACCAGATGAAGCTGTTGCCTATTTCTATTTCGATTTCAGCGACTCATCCCAACAGAAGCTCAATGCCTGTCTGCGATCTCTATTGGCCCAGATTTGTTCCGTCCGCTCCTCCATGCCACCGGTTGTAGCTGAGCTGAAGACGCTGTGCAAAGGTCCAGGAAGGAATGGCATTCTGACAGAACATGAGCTTTTGTCCGCCCTTGTGTCAGTCTGTTCCGGGCTTGGTTGGGTTTGGATCGTAATCGACGCTTTGGATGAGAGCACGGATTGGCTAGCATCCATGGAGGCCATCAAGGTTATGATTGCCTCCACCAACTTCTCCTTGCTCACGACGAGCCGTAGGGAAAAGGAAATTGAAGAGGTGCTTTCCGAAGCGATGGATGTTTCGTTCACCTTGAACTCCATTAATGTTGATAAAGATATTAGAACATATGTGGTGAAATGTCTGCAAACGGACTCTGAACTGGGAAAAAGACCACCAAATGTGAAAAAACGCATTGAGGATGTTTTGACAACCAAATCTAAGGGAATGTAGGTAAATCACCGATCACGGTGACCTGTTGCTGATGTGAGCTCAGGTTTCGATGGGTTGTGTGCCAGATTGACGTTCTGCGCTCATGCCTAACATCAAAAGCAGTTGATGAAGCTTTGGACTCACTCCCACAGACTCTAGATGCATCATACGAGAGGATTCTCTTACGTATTCATCCGGCGAAAATATCTCTAGCTCGGGCAGCTCTTGAGTTTTTGGTCTTTTCCACGCGTCCCCCAACATTAGCTGAGCTTGCCGAAGCGGTTGCTGTTGGCACATTTGATGGACCATTCGACATGGAAAACCGACTCTTCGAGCCGGAAGAGATCCTCAAAATGTGCTCTTCTCTCCTTGTACTGGAACGCTCCATCGTAGACAAAATGGGTCAAGACGACTCCTCAGATGCAGAAGTCCAGCAAAAGAAAGACACAAACGAAAGGCCGACAGTAGTGAGACCGGCGCATTACACAGTTAGTGAATATCTGATGTCACCCCGAATACATACCGGCCCAGTGAAAGTATTCGCACTTGCTCAAGAAAGTGGAGACACTTCACTGACCAAGATATGCCTCAGATACCTCTTACTCTTCAACAATCCAGAGCCGTTGAGTGCAGCTATCGACAGCGAGTTTCCGCTTGTGCGTTACGCTGCATCAAATTGGTATCACCACATGGCTTCTGTTTTCATGCAAATGGACCCCGTTGCGATAGAGCTACTGAGGAAGTTCTACGACACCGAAGACTATTATTTCTTCAATTCCATCAGATTCTCGGATCCGGATATATTCTGGTGGGGCAAACCACACCCTGGCTTACGGCCCGCAGACTTGCCTTCCCCTTTATACTATTCGTGTATGAGAGGCGCGTGCAGTGAGCATGTCAGGTTGGTGGTTGATATGGATTTCGACGTGAACCGGTATGGTGGGAATTGGGGCTTTCCACTGCAAGCAGCCTGTCAGTCGAAATGTGACATAACCACCTTAAACATTCTCCTCGAATCAGGCGCCAACGTGAATGCATTGGGTGGTTACTATCATACAGCATTGAACGCAGCTGCAGGAGCCGGATCTGAGGACAAAGTTGAACGACTCCTCAACGCCGGTGCGGATCCAAATTTAGGCGCAAGTGAAGGTCACTTCAACGCCTTGCACAGAGCAATTTGGCTCCTACAATATAAGCGCAATGAAGAACCCTATACTAACATTGTGCGCAAACTCCTTCGTGCTGGAGTCAAGGTAAATGCAACGGACAGTTTGGGCAGAACGCCTCTCGAAGTCGCAGCGAGGGCCGGAAAAGCAGAAATCGTTCGCGCTCTGCTGCAAGCTGGCGCAGACGTAAACCTGACTGGCCGTTTTCCCGAAGGAGCTTTGACTAAGGGTGTAAAGAGTGGCAGCACTGAAATCGTGGACTGCCTGCTAGATGCTGGAGCGCAAGTCAACACGAATGGCTATTCCACCGCCCTTAGAACTGCCATGAGGCTCAGCAACATCGAGATGATCCAGAGATTGCTGAAAGCAGGCGCAGAAATAAATTCTGTTGGAGCTCTTAATACAGGAGCTGTGCATCAAGCTGCAGAGAAAGGTGACGTGGAAATCTTGAATGTCCTTCTTGATGCTGGAGCAGATGTGACCTTGAAGGGTTGGCTTGGGAAGACAGCTCTTGAGATCGCAGCAAGCGAAGGACATACTGCCGTTGTTCGTCGGTTACTGCGAGAAGGCCCTGAAATAAATTCCATCTGTGACAACCACAACCACAACGACTACGACAATAGAGGGGCGTTGCATTATGCTGCAGGGAAAGGCGACGTTGAGATTATAAATCTCCTTCTCGATGCTGGAGCGGACGTAAACTTGAAATCCAGATTTGGTAGGACAACGATAGGCGTTGCAGCGCGCCATGGTCACGTGGCGGTTGTCAGGAGGCTACTGCGGGCAAGTGCAGATGTAAACCCTTCTGATGATTTCAGGCGTACGCCTCTGATGGAGGCTGTGGGCAAAGGCCGGATTGAAGTTGTGGACTGCCTTCTCGAAGCTGGGGCTGATCCTGATATTGAAGCAGAATCGAAATGGGGCTCGGCGTCTGAGGCTGGACCTGATCCTGATCCTGCTAGTGAAGTAGAATGGGGGTATGAGTCGACGTCTGGAGCTGAGGCTGATTTTGATCTCGATCTCTTACGGGAGTATTCAACATTCGAAGCTGCATTGCGAAATGGGCGGCTCGATATATACAAGCGTTTGATATCTGCTCCACCCATCTGGAAAGATATCAAAAGGTCGGCTTCGGAAAGAAGGAAAGCCACGGGACGAAGACTTCAAGCGCGACGTTGCACCTCATGTGACGATATCCCTATTCCAAAGGGCAACTCAAACGCTGTCTCGTGGCACACTCTGGAAGAAGTTAACAATCGTGATGGTTGATCATGCTCTTGGGCTTGATGGTGTATCAGGACCAAGGCAGGATACTGGGATCGGAAACTCCCTCCTCTAGACTGGCACGTAACCACTCGGGAAAGCTCATCACATTCTTGATTTTGCTTACTTCTGTATTGCTACGCACTTGCGTCCATACTTTGACCTCTTGCTCCATCGTCCAGCCTCGAACCCGCCGCTTTTCTCCCAGAATCTTTCCAACACCGTATGGATCCTGCTCCCAAGCCCTAACACCTCGGGAGAGCTCTCCTACCTCTACCTCAGCACGCTTTGTCTCGTCCATCGGTGGGTCGATGCCGATGTACCTCAAGCGCTCTGGTGCGGTTGGATATCGCAGTGCTGGGAGGTGCAGAGCAGTGAAGCGGTGTCGCTTGAAAGCATGAGAGATTATGGTGAGGTGGGAAGGGAAAGCTTGACATTGCTGAGGCGGAGGTTTAGGTGAACATGACTCCATACCTGAACTTACGAAGGCTGGGAAGAAGAGCAATGGGAAGAGGATATTCTGGAACGAGTCCGTTGCGTAGCATTCGGTGAAGATTCTGCTAGCGACTGTGGCAGGATGGCCGAAGAAGGCATTGGCATGTACGAGACTCTGGAGGATGTTAGTAGGATGTTAGTAAAGACCGCACTGCGGCGTGCTCTAAGTTTTGTGATAATGAGGACGGAAAGGAAAAGCAATATCTGATTTAGGGGAAACCTACAAAGTAGCTTTCAGCTTCTGAACGGTCAGTCTCTTTCGGCTTCGTTGGACCTCTACATAGATATCTGTCAGCCGCTACTATTCTACCAATAGAAAGCTAGAATATCCCGATATCTTCGTAGACGAAAAACAAAGCCCTCTGGACCGGTCAAGCAGAATCGACGTACCCAGAAAAGACAAGAATAGCTCGCTCATTGCTAGCCAGCTCGTCCAAGCCTGCCTTAGCATGCTCAATGAAGGTTGGTGCCTCGCCGACTTGAAATGGTTCTAGCAGCCTAAGAGAAACAGCCGGACTCAGTCATCCGTGCTCAAATACCATTGAGTCCCTCCGCCTACAGCCTCGATTTCTGATACCCACAGTGTTGAAGAAATCTGCATTGACTGACCATTCTGAGTCATCTTTTCCAGCAGTCGGGCCCCCGAGCCAGATCGCATGGCAGCATACTATGATCAAAGAATCAATTAAAGGATTCATGATTTAGAGACTATTCCGAGCAGCGAAGAAGATAGTTGACAGATGAGAATAGAAGGGGCAGTAATGAGTAGTACTCCGTAGACGCCAAGGGATAGGTCAAAAAAAGGATGGGAAAGTGTGAGCTAACTAGCCACAAAGGAGTTAGCGCCGAGCCTCGTTTATGAACCATCACTCGCTTAAATCTGTGCCTCTTCTCACTCTTCAATCATCTCACTTCACTCGGCTTCTTGAGGGTCATTGCACGCTCATTAATGCGACGTATCCACTTAAGCTCAGTAATGAAGTTGCAAGCTTTGCTTCAGAAAGAGCGAACAGTCGCCGTGAGGAAGCTACATTGATGAACCTCACTGGATTTTCAGAACATTGAATCTGGAAAGGTGATCATGCAATTGATCATGTCATCTGTCGCCTTCAGACTATGCTGATATCTCGCCCTGCTTTCAAGGATTGAATTGAGCCCGCTATGGGTCTGATTTCTGACAGGTGGTCTGCTCCCTGCGGACCGTGTCTGGATACAAGGTGAGGGACCCAGAGGCTAGCGAGGCTCAGGTTTAGTCTCGGATTATTTTACTCATTGTCCATGCTGCTAAGGTAGGTCTGTACCTTTGAACGTACGCTAAACGGGCTATCCCATTTTTGGCTTTGAGCATTGCAACGCAGAGTCTGCTGCTTGGTACCCACGAGATAACTAATAACCCAGTACGAAGGGTAGTTCGAAATCCGGTACGATGCTCTCTTGTTGTGGTACCAAGTGAGCCATTTAGTCTGGTCCCGATCTTCAAGCAATTTGCATACAATCGCGGAATTCACCTGGTGCCATCCCTGAAGGCCCGAGGAAGGGCATTGTCAGCTGTAAAGCTTTATTAAAGTGTGTTAGAAGTTTTTGGTGTTCGGCTGTATTGTAGCATCCAAGCGGAAGCTCCTGTCAACAAAGCTAGTGTGTTGTTTCAAGCTACAGCTGGCAGACATTATGATACTGCAACTCTTGTCCTGATTATTGGTACTAGTCATCTACGCCCTGACGCATTATAGTCGTCGAGAATGCTCTGAAGCGCCCAAATGATGATGCATCCTCAAACGTTGGAAGTCGTCCAAGAGCCTTTCGAGTCTTGCGCCGATCTCTCTGAACTCGACCATTCTCCGATCTTCTTCCCTGATCTGTCACTGATGTCTTCTCCAACACACTTCATTCAAGCCTCGAACTTACTCAACATATACCATCTGGTTGGTGGTAACAGCATCAACCCGTTCGCTGCAAGGCCCTCCCTCATCATGGCTTCTATACTCAACGCTCCTCATTTGGGATTGTCGAAGTATGCACCCATTCACTCGTTGCTTTGCATCAGAGTACCACCTCACTGACACATCTCCAACAAGGTTCCTGGAAACAAGCGAGTTCTCCGACTTTACCATAGTATGTGAGGAGTACGAATTCAAGACCCACAAACTCGTTCTATGCGCTGAGTCACACTACTTTCGGAAGCTGTGTACAGGGCCTTTCAAGGCACGTCGAAGCTGCTCTATGTGCGTTGCGCAGATCTTCTGACCCAGTCATAGGAGGCCACTGAGAACGTCGTCAAGCTCGAAGAACAACAGCCGCTCCTGATAGCGCGCATGATTCAATACCTTTACTATGGCAAATATGATGTGTTGAACGTCGCCGCAGGTCTTACACGCATTCTCGACAAAGCTTCTTCGAAGGTTATCCTTGATGATGCGATTTTTGCTCAAGACTTTGATTTCGAGGTACATGCAGACATGTACGCAATGGCCGATCGTTTCGAGATCCCAGCTCTTAAAGCCCTTAGTGCCAAGAACTTTGTCTACGAGGTGCGATCGAAGAATTTCAGCATTGCGGATCTAGTGTCAGCCATTGATTTCGTGTACAATACTACGCCAGAGAACGACTTTGGTCTCCGGAAATGGGTCGCCTACCGGGCACAACAAGTTGAGCACGAACTAGTCAGGCATGAGGACTTCAAGACCGCGCTGAAGGACCATCCAGACTTTGCATGGGATTTTGCCACCAAGTATGCTAAAGCAAACTATCTGTGGTGCTCTCACTGCAAGGATACGATCGACCTTGTTGAGTGCAGATGTGGATTCAGTGGCATGTGCGGAGATGCTACTTGCGCAACAGGAGCACCTGCGGCTCTGCAATGCACGCGCTGTAAGAATTGGGGAAAGCTGCAACGCGAGCTACCCCCTTTGAAGGAAAATCTCACGCTTGGGGAGTTGGGAAGGACTGACGAACCGAACGCGCCAATCAAAAGGAGCCCAAAAAAGAAGAGAAGACTAAGCTAAAGCGCTGTGCAGGGATCTGGTTGAGGGGGCGTTACCTGTCAGATCGCTGGTTGTTGGGGGGGTACTGGAAAAGAGCAGAACAAGAAAGAATTGCCAATGAATGTTTGTAGCATGAGCTATTGGCATGATGGACAGCTGTTGGCCTTGTGACCCGACGAAAGTATGCTTTTGTGCTGGGGGAAGGAATCGAGTTGCTTCAGCAACCACAGATTAGGCAACGATCAGATCCTATGTCTCTGTCCCCAAGGTAGTGAAATTCAGCTGTTGCACGAATCGCTGCTTTGTGGCCAATCTCAGAACCTGCCCCATCTCTTGACATGAATCTAATTGCCAGCAGCCATCTTGCCTATCCCAAGAAAACATTCGTTTCTACTGTATTAGCAAGTGTAAATTAAACACTGCGAATGGACACCGGAAAATAGGTATTTGTTGTATAGTACTACTAGTACTGTTTCACACACTATGGTTCGTGTCAAAATTGCACTGTCCGTGCACCAGGTAAAAAAAGCTGAGAAGATCTAGGTCTCTCGGGTATACCTATTTGTGCATGCACCAGCGGATGCCTCGTCTATATACTGGACATAACAAACGTATCCTCCCGCTACCAGGTCGACTTATGAGTGGCTCGAATAAGTTCCTCAGTGGCTGTAGCAGCTTCATCTGGGTAGAGGGTTGAGCACTATGCCTATAGCCAGCATCGATCCTTCCTCCAGTCCGTCTTAGAATGTGGTGAAACCGTAGACTCGCATTGATACCGCTTACAGAGTCCAGCTGGCTCGTTGAGCCAGTGTTCAGGCACAAGCAACGGACTTTGCGGCACCCGAGAAGTTCATTGTTTGCTTGGAAGTGCAGGGACGAAAGTGCTCATTCTTTCATTGTTTGGCATCGGAAAGGTTTCATGAAATGGAGGGATTTCGTTCGAGTAATGCAGAACAGCCGATAAAGGAGATTCCCACTAGAGACATCAAAGTACCTTCCAGTTCGAGATCGAATGCTGTGGGTATATGCCGAGGTCTGCAAAGTGAGTTTTGTGTTGCAGATTTTCCGGAGGTGCGATTGAGGAACATGATGCTGGACCCAAGCACGAAACAGTATGTATCTTTGGCGGCAGATATCCTAGCAGCAGTGCCAGTAGTCAAGGTTGTTGTCCTTGCACCACGGTAGAGAAATAGTTCAAGATAGTCCTTTGGGCGGAAAAGTCGAAGCTCTCATGCCACCTTCTTTGCCTATCCTAACATACTTGAGAGTATTTAGGGATGACCAGTCCTCGTTCCAGGCTCGGAGCTTCTTGAGTCCTTCATCGTCGCGAGTATCTGGTATCCAGAACCCGGACTGGAACTCCTTCTGCTCTGCCTCGACCCTGTGCCGTAATTGGTCTTCCTGGTTGCTGGATGGCCGGCCAGGTCGTCTTTGCGCCTTCAACGCTGCAAGCTCTTCATCATCACGAGCGATATAGCTGTAACATATCAGCACATTGTTCTGGTCAATACTGTGCCAGCGAACCTTGCAGTCAGAGCCCGAAGCTCGTCCTCGCTCATCGAGGTTGTTGCCTCCTTAAGAGCTGATTTGAAAAAGGCAACACGCTCCACTTGTGCCCCGTCGGGTTAGTATCTCGATTAATAGAGGACTGAGAGAGCATTCATACCATATGTTTGATTTGCTCTCGATGCGGCCGCTGCAATTTTGGCAATTTTGTCCTCTCTCGCACCAGCTCTTCTTAGCCGCTGAGAATCCCTGCTATTTTCGTGCAGACTATTTGATTTTCCGCCTCTCTTCTTCGCTATTTGCTTTTGGACTTTGTGCAGATTCTTGCTCGTAGCCATACTGGCGGTTCTTGCGTGATGGTGAGAGTTCGATGTCACTTAGCAATAAGATTGACTTGGTTTAGGCTGTGACTGTCCAAAAGGGACAACTTGAAGGGCAAGATTATCCAGAAGTGGCAATGGCAGCCTGCCAAGAGATCTTTCGCGTCAATCGCGTTCCCGCTGCATCACTTTTGGGACATCGACAGGCTTGCCTTCCTTGATTACATCTACCCACTTGATATTTTATGCTGCAGCTTCAAACTGGAGTCGTTCGGGAGGGCCACAGCACAACCTCGGACAATGCTACAGAGCCGTGCATCTTCGTGACCCTCGCAGTCGGCTTGGTCTCTCAACTCAGGAATAGGCACCAATGAGCCAGGACGACTGAGTCCATTGCCTCAAGATGGGTATCAATGGTCAGTAATGTTGCTCCAACCTGATTTCTCATCTAAGAGGGACGGATAGGCCTCCTGACCGTCCTGAAATCGATCCAGAAACACACCCACCTACGCCAGTTTGCGGGCCAGACAATTGGAGTAGATGCTTATGGCTGGCTACATCGCGGCACCGTGGGATGTGCCATGGAGCTGGCACTTGACAAACCATGCACCAAGTTTGTTTGCCACCTCATTTCGAGCAGGATTATGCTGATCGAGTTACAGATACGTCGAATATGCAATGCACCGTGTTCGGATGCTCATCTATTTTGGCGTCACGCCCTATCTGGTTTTCGATGGCGACAATCTACCCAGCAAGACAGCGACCGAGGTCGGAAGGGCGAAGAGGCGCGAGGAGAGTAAGAAAAGGGGTCTCGAACTTTACAAAGCAAGCAAGATTTCCCAGGCATATCCGGAATTCCAGAAGTCCATTGATGTTACACCATACATGGCACGACAACTGATTGAGGAGTTGAAGAAGCTGGACATCCAATACGTCGTTTCTCCGTACGAAGCTGATGCGCAGCTCGCATACCTGGAGAAAAAAGGAATCATTAACGGCATCTTATCTGAGGATTCAGACCTTCTCGTCTACGGAGCTAAGAGGCTTATAACCAAGCTGGATCAACATGGCGACTGTATAGAAATTAGCCGATCCGATTTTGCCTCCTGCCGCGACATGACTCTTGCGGGCTTCACCGACGCCGATTTCAGACTGATGGCAGTCCTTAGCGGGTGTGACTACCTTGCCAGCATCAACAAAATTGGATTGAAAACTGCGCATACATATGTCCGCAAATACAAATGCGTGGAGAAGATTGTGCACATGCTTCAATTCGAGCAAAAGTTTGTTGTACCAAATGGCTATCTCGAGCGCTTTTATGAAGCTGAGAGGACATTTCTGCATCATCGAGTTTTCTGTCCGCTGGAAAAGAAGCTGGTATTTTTCACAGAGCTCGAGGACGGCATGAAAGAGGAAGATATGCCTTATCTTGGCAAGGACGTGAGTCCTGCGATCGCCATTGGCGTTGCATGTGGAGATCTCGATCCAATGACCAAGAAACAAATCGCAGTGAATGTCGCAATATCGTCACGTTCCATGCCAGATCTGCATCGCAGAAGGACTGTTGCTTCTGCTAACGACCTGAAACCGAGCAAATCCATCGACAATTTCTTCAAACCAAAACGCCAGCCACTAGCCGAACTTGATCCCAATAGTCTCACGCCCTCACCTTCGCAACAACGCCTCCTGAATATGAATAGAAACGCTTCGTGGGAAGCACGACCGATCTCGTCGGCCCCCCAGCTAGGGAGGACGGCTTCAATCATGCCAGGTGCAAGCCAGGTGCGGACAGGCCAATCCCAATCTCGCGAGAGGTCATCTTTTCTAGAAAGAGCTGCCACCCTCTCGACGTTTCAACCACCCAAGCGGATAAGATTGTGCTCTGACGTGGATGTCTCGCCATCTAGTAAAGATGATCGAAGTCCCTTTTTTGTTATGAAGCCGGAGCCTAGTCCGTCGATTCGAAAGAGAGGCAAGACCAAGAAAGCAAGGCTTTCTGACATTGAGGTATTTTCTGATGATTCTGTTGCCGACATATTCCAAGATATGCAGGATCCAGAAATTGGCTCTGTTGACACGTCAACCAAGCCGGCTGTCCTACCAGACACGACAGGGAGAAGCACGAGTAGAGCATCTAGTCCAAGCGCGACTCTTGTCACAGAGGTTTGCGATACACCAATTAGGCAGAAAATTCAGATTCCGCAGTCAGGCATATCACAAAGTACGACAGCCATCTCTGTCAGTGCTGATGATGACCCAGGAGAATTTCGAGACTTGTTCGAAGTCCATGTTGAGCACTTGAACAACTTACGGAACACATTTTCCTACCAGAGACCTGAAAAGCAAGCAGCTGCGCTTAAAGCGCTGAGCCCTGCAAATGGTACTCCTCAACTTCCTAAAGAAACAGCACCAAATCAAGATGGTGTTCCACGGCTCAGCCAGGTGGTGCGTCGACATGCTCAATCACAACATTCAGCATCATTGCACAAGACATTCGGCACACTGCCCTCGCATCAACAAACCGCTGCTCTAAAGTCTTTGGGACCGAGTCAGAGTTCCGCGGAGAAGGTGAAATTGGGCTTAGCGGCACTGGATTCGGCCACCCATTCATTCATGGGACAGAGGCCCATGACCCCCCTTCAGCAGTTGGGAAAGCGAGTTTTGGATACATCACGAAGTTCGGACTGTATCAGCCATGGTGGATCACGTAGTGACAGGCCGAGAACGGGATCTCGGGTCAACCAAGTATTAAAAGTCAATGTGCAGGGCAGCGAAGATCTTCTTGTGCCAAAGAGCGAGGATGAAAGATCAGAAGTGTCTGAGATTGAGGACGTTGAACCCGTCAGGCGGCATGTTGATTTGGCTAGATTCGTCTTCACGACGAGTGCGTGATTGGGGGGTCTTTGTTGAATAAGGACAGTATGGATTGCATTATTGGGCGAAAATGAACTTGGCTGGATGTCGCGTGTAACACTGCGATTGGTGCCTTGATTGAGTGTGACTGTTCGCATTCAGACCGCCGACTGACGAATCAGACGATGAGTGTTGGTAGTTGTAGGCACACGTTCTTCCCGGGGATTCGCTCAAGTATCTTTAGAAGCTGCATCCTGTTACCAAGCATCTTCTACGTATCGATACAGGTACAGAGAACAGGCTTCGTGGTCTAGAGTCTCTACGTCATCAGGGGTCGAGCGGATACAGCCGTGGTGGCAGCCGCACTAGTCCACTCTAGGAAGCTTGTTTACAACTTGAAGGTGCCCATCTCCATCTGCCAAGACCCAACCTCTTCCTGGAAATCTTCCTGCCACCACCATACCCAGCCACAGGTTTTCGAATTGGTCGACGCAGTGCGTTGTATGGATGAAGTGTCATTCGCGTGGATCAAACTAGGCATCTGGCAACTCTACCAAGCTACGCCTCTTTCTCTCCTCCTACACTTTCTGATAATCTTCAAGTTCGAGCTGCATTACAACTGACTCTTGATTGAGGTTCACAGTCTCAGGCCGAAAAATTATCGAACAAAATCTGCAATCCTTCCGCGCGCACACACACACACACACACACACACACACACACCTCTTGTCACGCTATACGTCTCCCTCGAGCCTCTTCACAAAAGCATTGTCATCTGCATTCTCCACATTCCTCGAGCACAGCACAGACTGTCAATTGGCCCCGTCCACCAGACATCTATCATATCTATCTTCCGACATCACAGCAAACAGCAGTGCCAGCTACTGTTGAGTCCTCCCACCGCCGTCCGTCCGGCTGGACGGTTCGAGAAGAGGACAGAAGTGGAGGCTGAGGAGGAGACACAGCTGCCATGGCAGTAAGATTTGCCACAGGATGGAGACGGTTCTTCCCATTACTGGGCTATCACCATGTTCTCATGATCTTCATAGCCATCGCAATTGTGTTGTTATGTGCGTAAATCACATCGTTCCTTATCAACCAAACACGTACTAACACAGAGCCGTAGCACTCCTCCTGGCAGGCTGCTCATCAACTTCACCCGGCATCCCAGACATCTTCCTCATATCGCTCTACTACCAAGAATACCCCCCCGTCTTCGACCCCGCCCAGGTGCAACCAGGCGTCACCACAGCAATCTCCAACATCGTCGGCTCGGCCCAACTCGAAGTCAGGGTGGGATACTTCGGCATCTGCATCCAGCCGGACAACGGCGCCTTCCTCTGCAATCAGAACGCGTCCGCTCTCGCCGACCTGGTCCGAGTGGACCAGGATCCGCTGAACCTGATCTGGGTGGCGTCAACCTTCAAAGACAGCATCGTCTTTCCGTACTTAATGTCCGTCGACTCCCTCGTTTTTTCCCCCCCTCCACAAACCCCACCATGCTAACCATACCGATGTCGCAGAATCGTCGCCATCATCCTCGCATTCCTGACCTTCCTCCTCCTCGCCACCTTCCCCGGCTGGCACACCGAATCCGACGGCGGGTCCGAGACCGAAGTGAAACCCTTCCCCTCGCGACCCGTCAGCCAGGTCGCGCTCGCCACCATCTTCATCGCCTCGGTCTTCGTGCTGGTCAGCATCATGTGGCAGCACACGGCGGCGGTGGCGGCGTCGACCATCGTCCAGGACCTGGGCAACGGCAGCGTGCGGAGTGGCGTCGGCACCACCGCCATGATCCTCGGCTGGTTTGGCTTTGGTTTGCTCGTCATCGTCACGCTGGGCCTGTTGGTCATGATTCTCAGTATTCAATTGCTGGACCGCTTGACGGATGATGTATGATTAAAAAAAACCCCCTTGGGTTTTTTACCCTGTTACGCACCGGATCCGTGCTAACTAAATGTTCCAGGACTGAGCTCCCCCAACCAAAACCAGCTACAGCATCACTTCGACTACACAGATACCCGCGACTCGGAAGGAAACCAGAGCCCATACATAATGTGATTGAATGATTGATTGATTCAAAGAAACCGATAGATCACAATTTTCTTAAAGCGCGAGAAAAACAAGCATCCAGGGGAGAACTAAGCGACCTTTTTTGATCCAGGTTTTCTGCAGATACCATACCTACAAAACTGTTCCTGTACAAATGCATTTGGACGGCGAAGCGGACGTTGGGCCTCGAACTGCGCCCGACTGTGGCTTTTTTCCCCCAGCTTATTCATTGGGTTTTTTTTGTTTTCGGAAACCCATTCTTGCATCGCGAAAGGAGAGATCAAATCAGGATCGCAACTTGGGGGTCTCTGGATGGGTTGACACGAGGGCATTTGCATGTAGATAGATAGATCATCAGATTGGGTGAGATGGGAATCGAGAGCTCAGGATCAGGATTAGGATCAGGATCAGGATCATGGATCAGATAGGTGAATGAATTCGATCGATTATCTGGTTCCCAAAGAAAAACCGGATTACGAAGTCTCTCTCTTGGACTGGGACATGGTTATTAAGATCCTGGTGATACTTGTGCGCTGAATCTCCCAAATCAACG